TTGTCTATCGGCGTCGTGAGGCCACTCAGGGCGGTAAGAATGGTCTCCGAAGCAAGCGGCAAAAGCTCACCTCCCGAGATGAATGCAAGGCCCTGCACAAGGTCTTTCCTCAAGCGCGGAGTGTTATTCTATTCCCAGTCTGGGACTCGCGTCGCAACCGATGGTTTTCAGGGTTGTTTGCGTGGACGACTTCCCCGCGGGCGTTTAGCTCCCGGGGCGAATTGGCCTACCTGTATGCCTTTACCAACAGCATCATGGCCGAGATTCATCGACTGGATATCGAGCTCGCCAACAAGGCAAATCGGACGCTGGTCAGCAGCATCTCACACGAACTCCGTAGTCCCCTGCACGGTATCCTAGGCAGCACCGAGCTGCTGACCGACTCCAGCATGACGCCACCACAGGTTGCTCTCGTGCAAACCATCGAGAACTGCGGTCGCTCGTTACTTGACATTATTAACAACATGCTGGACTTTGCTAAGATCAATCAGTTCACACGCAAGTCCCGATCTGGGCGGCTGAAGGCAGGACCGGCCTTGGCCCGACGACAGGCGAACTCCGGGCGAGCACTGACGAAGAAGCGACCGAGCGAAGGCATTGTCAACCTCATCACCGACGTTCAACTCGACTCGGTCCTCGAGGAGGTAATGGACACGGTTTTTGCGGGTCACTGCTTTGCCACCACCACCGGGTTCCTGGCCCAAGGGGGTCCTGTCCTGACCGATCAAGACAAGGATGGTGACTATCTAATGGGCAATACCCCGCAGAAACCCCGGACCAACGAGCCTCTGACGGTCATTTATGATGTGGAACCAGGAATGACGTGGCTCTTCGAAACACAGGCAGGTGTATGGAGACGGATTCTGATGAACATTTTCGGCAATGCCTTGAAGTACACACGGTCCGGTCACATTGTGGTGTCACTGAAATCAGCCAATGCTGCTGGTACCAAGCCCAAGCGGATACCGTTTACTGATCCCTTCAAGCATGAGGTGGCTGGGATCGTCCTCAGCGTGAAGGATACCGGACAGGGCATCGACAAAGAGTATCTCAAAAGCAACATCTTCAAGCCATTCTCCCAGGAGGATCCCCTGTCTCCCGGAAGCGGCTTGGGACTTAGCATCGTGTACCAGGCGGTGCAAACCATGGGAGGGAAAATCGACATCAATTCCACTCGGGGAATGGGTACGGAGGTAACAGTGAGTGTCGATCTACTGCGGAGCCCGAGCCCGGCTCCCAGTAGTGATCGAGAGGCGCGCACAATTCACAAAGCGCAGCAGTTCTCTCGGGGGAAGTCGATTGGCTTGCTTGGGTTCAATGGGCCCGAGAGGGCGAAGGACGAGGGGCTTGCTCTGTTGCGGACCTCGCTCAGTAGCATTTGTCAAGACCACCTTGGCATGCAAGTCGGCATGGTGTCGTGGGACTCGAGTGATGCGCCGCTCTATGACGTCTACCTGGTGCAGCATTCGGATTTCGGTCGCGTCGATAGCACCTGGGCCAGTATGGCGGGCAAGGCCTTGACCACCGGGCAGGAGCCCAAGGGCCGACCACCAGTAGTCGTCGTATGTCCCACTCCACAGGAGGCTCAGAAGATGGCCGCCACCGGTTACCGTAGCCCCTCGTCTGCCATCTATGAGTTTGTCAGCCAGCCGTGCGGACCAACCAAGATAGCGACGGCGGTAATGACCTGCATCCAACGGCGCGAGCAGCAGCAGACGCAGTCGGTGACGGCCAAAATGGATGCCACGCTGGAGGAGGAACCCGGTACGCAGCCAACCAAGTTCACAGCGGCCTATCACGCCTCAACCACAGACGTACAGACTAAGACATCGTCAGGTATGGACATTGCGCTGACCACCTCCACCACCATGGTCTCGACGACCACATCCAGCAAGGGGGATTCAGTGACCAAGATCTTAGCGATCGAGACGACGAAACGAGCCCCTGCGGTCCTCCTTGTGGATGACAACGAGGTGAACCTGAAATTGCTGGTTGCCTTCATGAAGAAAGCGAAACTGTCGTATTTCACAGCAACCAATGGCTTGGAAGCCCTGGAGGCATTCAAGGCTAATGCCGGACTGATTCAGATCATTCTCATGGGTAAGCACATCTCTCAATGGGCATTTGACCTGCGTGCTAACGACACCATAGATATTTCCATGCCGGTCATGGATGGTCTCGAGTCTACACGGCAGATCCGTCTATTCGAGAAAGCACAGCAAGAACTTAGCCCGACGAGCATGCCGACAGCCAAGCCCGCCGTGATCATTGCCTTGACCGGACTGGGCAGTGCTACCGTCCGCCACGAGGCCCTCACTCACGGGGTGGACCTGTTCTTGTCCAAACCGGTTCGATTCCAGGAGCTGATCAAACACATCGGCGAACTTGTTCATTGACCTTTTCAACCCTGCCATTCCTTCTCTTCTTCGACGCAAAAGTTCCCACATACCCCTTTTTGTATTGATGCGACGATTTCTGGGTGATGTATATATACGTGTGATGAGCATGATTCGGAAGGCGCACAAGAGACTTCCTTTGATAATAGATATATACCAATATATGTCGCATATCCTCAGTTGGACCTCAAGTATACGCAGCCTATGGAGAGTATAACAGCCAATCGTCATTACGGATGCAGATTTCAACATCCAGATTCACAAGCGTCCCCCGTTCCCTGCCCCTGAGCAGAGGTGTTAAGTCCGCCGGATGTACATCACTATCTCGGCTCCACATTGCCTCTCCCCTAAGCTCGTCTTCTCTCCCACCATCAGAATGACCTCTTGTGTCTCCCCATTGCGACCTATTGGTACTAATACCAGTACTACAACATTGTGCATGCTCTCGCTTAACGTATCTCGGCCTCATCGGCGATAGCACACCCTCCAAGACCGCCACCGGACCTTAACGCCGAAAGCCGACGGCCTCAACTCGACATCAACAGAGACCGACCAAGCCCCCGGCGTTCGCCATCTCGGGTCCCTCCTCGAGTACGATGACTTTCATTGGGTCTGCAGGTTGCCTTGGGATCTAGACGAAGACCAGTGCACGAACTCGCCATCGAAGCAGCAGATGGCGTACCCCGGGAACACCCCGTTATATCTATGTTGCCCATCCAGCTTTGTTGTAGGGCTAGTATCGCTTATCAAACGTGCGATGCTTCCCCAGCCCCACAATGTCCCTCACCTCCAGCACCAAAGCCCCCGTCGACCATGTCCAGACCCCCGAGGAAGACGGCACCGTCTCTTCCCGGCCGGGGAAGGCCACGAAGGAAGAACGTCGGATCCTCCATCGCGTGGACCGCCGCTTGATTGTCATGTTGGGGTTACTGCATACGGTCTCCCTGATCGATCGCGGGAATCTGGGGACCGCGTCGGTGGCGGGCATGACCAAGCAGTTGCATCTGATTGGGATGAGATATGTACGTTTAGTCCCCTCTTGTTGTTGTCTGACGATTTTGGGGAGGGGAAAGACTAATTCGCTTGGTTGCTGCGGTAGAGCATCATCGCCGTCGCGTTCTTTCCGCCGTACATCTGCTTCCAGGCGCTGGGGCCGGTGTTGGTCCGGAAATTGGGGCCGGTGGCGTATATCTCTGGGGTGTGTTTTGTGTGGGGGGTTGTGATGGTATGTTTCTCCTTCTTGCAAGTATCGCTCTGGGGAATGCTGAGAAAGGTGTAGTTGGCGGCGGGGTTTGTCAAAGATTGGACCCAGCTGGTCGGCGTCCGGATTGTCATCGGCGCCCTGGAGGCGGGCTTCTTCCCCGGAGCGGTATACCTGATCTCGACGTGGTACACGCGGTTTGAGATCCAGAAACGATATGCCTTGTTCTATCTGCTGGGATGTGTGGCGTCCGCGTTCACGGGGCTTCTATCGTATGGAATTACTTTCATGGTTAGCAGCCCTTCTCCATTCCCCGTCTAGCCTGGATAGACCCAACTGACAGGAGATAGAATGGCCTAGGAGGCCTAACCGCCTGGCGCTGGATCTTCGTCATCCAAGGCCTCATCACCTGCGTCCTGGCTGTGATCGCCTACTTCGTGCTGATCGACTTCCCAGACCGCATGCTGAACCAGCGCAACAGCTTCCTCTCGCCCGGCGAGTATGAGATCGTGATCCGCCGCATCGATGCGGATCGCTCCGACTCCGCCCTCGAGCCGTTCAACCTCCGCAAATACCTGGCCGCGGGCCTCGACATCAATATCTGGGGCTTCGGGTTGATCTACTTCTGCAGTACGACCACTGCGTATGCTCTGTCGTACTTCTTGCCGATCATCTACCAGCAGGGGATGGGGTTCTCGACGGGCGTGTCGCTGTGTCTGTTTGCGCCGCCGTATGCGGCTGCCGGGATTGTGATGATGGCTACCTCATGGGTCGGGGATCGGTATCGGATTCGCGGGCCGATCATTGTGTTTAATTCGGTGCTGAGTTTGATCGGGTTGCCGTTGATGGTATTTGTCTTCCTTACCCCTTTCACCGTCGGTGTACGGATGACTAGTGATGATGGTGATGCTAATAGCTGGATTAGGGCTTCACGACCGGCGTGGCCCCCCGCCTGGTGGGATGCTTCTTCACCACCATCGGCGCGAACGGGAATATTCCGGCCGCGATGGCGTATCAGGTGAGTCATTGCCCTTGCATACTAGCCCACCACAGTAGCTGATTTGTGAATCTGCAAGGCAAACAACGTCCGCGGTCAGTGGAAGCGCGCTATCTGCAGCGCCATCTTCGTGGGACTCGGAGCGTCGGGCGGGATGACGGGGTCGCTCGTGTATCGCTCGCAGGATGCGCCAGAGTACCGCCCGGGGATCCTGGTTAGTATCGGCCTGACGTGCCTGTCAATTGTGCTGGTGGGGGTGCTATCGTTGCGACTGCATTATCTGAATAAGAAGGTGGATCGGGGGGAGTTGGTAATCGGGGGGTTGCGCGGGTTCAAGTATACGCTCTAGCTATCTCCGTCACCACAGAACATATGATGCTGAAGATACTTCCAGAATAATATTGCTCTAATCGAAGTCTCAAAATCTAAACCAACTCCTCAGTAAGGAAGCCTCTAATTACTCCCCCAACCTCTTCCACATCGTCCAGGTGCGGAAAATGCCCCGTCCCCTCCACGACATACTCCCGCAACCACCGCCCATCCAGTTTCTCCCGGACAAACGCCGCGTGCGCCGTCACGTCGCCCTTGCGAAGGCTCTTCCGCTCGTTCTCGAAATCGCCCTCCTGGCTTTGCACGTCCAGCAACCGTACTGGGTCTTCGCCCGTTGCCACCAACTGGTCGTTGTGGCGGTTGAGGGCGTGCAGGATCTGCGCGACTCGCCCATCGACCGTCCCGTAGTAATGCGACATCCGTATGAGGTACGCGAAGTCCAGGCGGGAGTATGTTTCCTGCACGGTGGCGACAGTTTCCGGGCTGGTGTGCGGGCCGAAACACTGGGCGATGCGGTCGGGCATGGTGCTGCGATAGTGTTCGGCGTACGTGGCGAGGGTTGTCAGGTCGAAGGGAGTCGGGGGTGTCGTGCCAGCGTAGGGGCCGTCGAGGAGGATTATCCCCGTAACTTTGAGGGGAGAGGGGGCGGTAGTGAGTGTGTGGGCAAAAAGGTCGAGGACGGTCAAGGTGCCCATGCTGTGACCGTAGAGGGTGGTGGGGATTGGAGACTGGTTAGAGCTGGGGGATGAGGATGGGAGGTGGGTGGAGAGCAGTTCTGCGTGCAGCTGAACGAGGAGCTCGTTGATTCCTCCGGTCTCAGGGGTGGGTAGGATGGAGTTGGGTGACTGGCCGTGGCCTGGGAGGTCGACGACGACATAGACGTGGCCTGCGCTGAGGGCGTGGTCGGGGGTGTGGAGGTGAGTGATCAGGGGAATGTAGTCGGTGGCTGGACAGCCAAAACCCGGGATGAAGAGGGAGATTTGCTGGATCGAGGGCTGCGGAATCGTGGCGTTGGTGAGGTAGGAGAGGCCGGTGGACGGCGAAGTCTGGCGCTGAAGAAACTGGAGATTTCTATCGGTCATTCTGATGATGTTGAGGCTATGTATGTACGGACCATTGGATGGCAACAACATGCAGCTGAGAAAGCTTGGTATTTATCCCTACCATCGTTGGATCGTCAAATCAAGCGGAACCTGAAGTTGAATGAATTAGTGAGCATGACTAAAAGGTATTGCGAATCAGTCTTGATTTGTAAAGCTGACAATTAATGAAACCCGTTGGAGTTGAAACTCAAGGCACGGACGGGAGCTACCAGTTAGGGCTTCTGGGTTACTTCATATCGCCATTCCGGACCCCGACTCAACTCCTAATACAGTGAAGATACCATCCTCAAAACCCCGGATTCAAGGCCACGGAGCGCGACATTTGGGACACGAACTCGGCCGACCATTTTGCTTGTTGTCTTCAAGCCAGCGATTGATACATTGCGTGTGGTAATCCTGCTTGCATAGCGCCGGGCATGGGGTCACATTCTGCAGATTCTCGTCCATTGCTACCAAGCAGATCGGACACTCCGCCTGCTCAGGGATATACTTAGGCCAAGGCGCGCCACACCGGGGACAAGGCATGTTTTGATTGGCATGCGACTCACGGCACTGGTCAATCCAGCGTTCCACACAAGCCTCGTGAAGCCACGCTCCGCATTGCTGGGGACAGCAGAACTCGTAGTCCTCAATGGGCTGGCCACAGACCACGCAATTCTCCTGAAAGATGTCCTGCCCGCACACTGGACACGGACAGGGCTCTTGGTCCTCTTCACTTCTGGGGATGCGCCAGTCAGAGACACAGTCGTTGTGATACTGTGTGCCACATCCGCCGGGGCAGGAGAATCCGTCCTTGCGCAAGCGTTTGCGACAGATCAGACAACAGTTGTCCTTGATCTCAAGGTTGTTCAAGGCCGCATTGATATTGTGGTATTGTTGGGGTTGGTCTGCGTTGGTGATGCTGGCACCCACTTGAACGCCCGCGGGGACATCACTGGAAAACACGGAGTCTGGGTCGGAGTCTTCTATATCGGGGTCTTGATCGGAGGCCTCATTGTAAACGAAGACTTCGGGTCTCTCGGAGTCCTCATAGCAAAGGAAGACTTCCTCGGGTCCCTCGGGGTCCTCATAGTAAAGGAAGACTTCCTCGGGTTCCTCGGGGTCCTCATAGTAAAGGATGACTTCCTCGGGTTTCTCGGAGGCGTCATAGCAAACGAAGACTTCCTCGGATTCCTCGGAGGCCTCATTGCTGCGGAGTTCGTCCCGGTCCGCAACTTTAGAGCCCCAGACACCAGCGATGCTAGAGTTGGCGCTGAATCCACTTTCCTCTGAATTATCGTTGATGACGGAGGCCGTCTGAGCCCGGGCTTCGAGGGTGGATCCCCAGACACCGACGGTGCTGGAGGTAGCGCTGAATCCATCGCCCTCCGAACCATCGCTGCCTGCGGAGGAAGGCTGATGCTGGGCTTGGTGGGCACCCGACATCAGAGGCTCAGGGGGCCTGGCACGAGCGCCTGACCCTGTAGCCTGACGATTTGAAGGGGCGGAGGTTAACAGCTTTTGTGCATAGATATTCGAGTGGCCTGCCTGGGTACGCCGAACGGCCGAAGAGGTCGGGGCATTCTTGACCTTGACCTGAGACCCCGAATGGACGGGTCTGGGCGGGTTTGCCGGGGTATGAGCGTAAACTCGGTGCCCTCCCTGGCCCTCCCTCTCCGGATTCTCTGCCTGATAGCCCTTTGCGGAGCGAACTGGCTGTTTCCCCTTGGAGGCTGACGAAGGCGGATGCCGACGGTTTGAGTTATCCTTTGCACAACTGCTCACGGTGGACTTGCGGTGCTCAGGACCGCGCTCTCCAGCCAACCAACCGAGCAGGCCTCCCACTGGGGCCGAAGCACGAGGCCGATCGGTCGACTTGTGCTTGGAGGAGCTGTTTTTCTGTTTCTCGGGCATGATGATGGTGGTGAGATGTCGAAAATGCGCGATTGAGCCATCCATCTTCTCTTTCCTGAACCCCAAAGCGTGGCTTTTATACTGGAACCACAAAACTGTGACAAACACACCACGAACAAAGCCAATCGCTCCACCGGAGAAGATCGTTATGCGAATCGACGAGCTCCATCATGACTGAAAGAGTACGAGCAAGCAAGCGGAATGCGCCGGTGTGTGAGGACAGGACCCATGCACTCGTTGTCCTCAAGCCTTTGTATAAATACATCGGTTTGTTCTCTCGTTGAATAGCCCTAAGACAACCCCCCCGGCCTACTTCTATCAACCTTGGGACAGACAAAAACAACCACGCAACATGGCTGAACGCCGGATACTCCCCGGCCCCGAGCAGAATTTGCCCGTCCACCACCCGGACGCCCTGGACTACCAGGCGCTGTCGCTCATCCTGGGCGAAGCCCTCGATCGCATCGGCCACTGGTACGTGCACCTCATCTTTACCTACGACTACGAAGTGAATGTTCTCCGAACGGATTGGTCGAACCCGGGGCTGCGCCACACCATCCTCGACCTGCTCAGGCGCACGCAGATCTCCGACCTCGCGGCGCTCCATAAGAACAATAAGGACTGGCCGGCGGTCTTGTACCGGAAGGAACGCTCGCTCGCCGGCAACCTGACGGAGCTGCTCCTGACCCACGTTACCACGGAGGAGCGCGAGGATCCGCTCATGTGCGAATTCCGCGAACTGTTCCCCACTGGCAACATCACGGTGGGCACCTCCTTTGCCACCTATCACACCCCCTCCACCTCCGCCTCCGCCTCTGATGTCTCCACGGAGGTGCTGCGCGGGTTGCAGCGACTCGGTGACCAGGAACGAGCCCGAAATCGCAGAGGTCGCAGAGCTCGCCCGTCGAACCTGATGCTGTGTATCACGATCGCCGAGAACATGCAGATCCTGCGCATGCTGATCCCCCACCCGGGGAAGACCATGCTGAAGCTCTGGGCCGATCCGTTCGAGTATCCGGCCTGGCAGGATCACTGGCCTTGGGGTGGGGAGAACCGTATACCCTCCCAGGTCCGGCTGCCACGACCCACGCCGGCGGATGCTGCCCCCGTCGCCAGCCAGCGAGCGATCGGGCCAGACGATAAGTGTCCCATCTGTTACGGTCAATTCCACTCCGACGACCCGGAGGAGGCGAATATGCCCGTCGTCTGGTGCGCGCGCTGCGGGCAAAACTTTCACGGCGGCTGTCTGTCGACCTGGCTGGGCCGCGCGGGCACATGTCCCTTGTGCTCTCGCTTGTGGCGGACGGGGCGGACTGGGTAGATTGATGGATTGAGGTTCAGTCTGCATGCTTTACGCTGTAAGTTCCTATCGAAATAGAATCGATTTCTAACTTTATTGATATCCCTTTCTTTCTGCTTAGCTCTGTATCGATAACCCGGTCACCCGGTATTGCAACCCCGTTCATCGGACCAGAAACCAAACTGACGCCCAGTGGCTGTCCAGCTAGATCAGAGGCTTCCTCCCATACGCAACCTTACTATATGGTCATTAGCTATGACGCACTACCCCTACCCCTACCTCCACGCCAGATCACAGCACTTACATCTTGGTATACGAATGCAACGACCGATCCTTCAGCTGCTGCCGCACCAAATTCTGCATCAGCTTTGTCTGTTCCTGACTCCAGCCCAGCACCTGCGTACACAGTCGCAGTCCATACGCCTCGACGGCCTTCTCGACCATGGCGGCCTGCACGCGCCCGATCTCCCGCAGCCGGGCATCCTGCGGCCACGGCGAGAAAGGTAGGATGTAGGTCTGCTCATGGACATCCTCGAACCCGTGCGCGATCAGCCACGGCTTCAGGTCGATGTAGATGTTCAGCTCCCGGCCGATCATGTGCGCCGCGTCATTCAGCGACATCAGGTACTCCATCAAGGGCGAGTCCATCTTGAGCGTGCCGTCGTCGCTCCACGCCCAGACGGCGCTCTCTTGGAGTTCGAGGTACCCGCCCGGCTTGAGGTGGTCGTAGGCCTGTCGGATGAGGCGGTGCCAGTCGACGACGCAGCTGTTCACGGGTGGTTAGTGTGAGGGTTGGGGTTGGGTTGGAGGACGAAGGAGAGAGGGGGGGGGGGGGGGGGGGGTACCCTGCTAGGTTGCGGGAGTGGATGAAGTCGTAGGCATTCATCTTCTCGAGCCAGTCGGACTCGTAGTCGTCGACGAAGAAGTCCACGTTGGGGGGAACCCAGGCGGGTTGAATAGGGCTGAGGTCATTGCCCACTACGACGGCACCGGGGTACTGGCTGACACACACTTAGTATAGCCTGAGGCGATACCATGAGGGAAGAGTCATACTCGGCGAAATCGATGGCCCAGTTGCCAGTCCCCGTGCCCAGGTCGAGCACTTTCTGTGGGTTCTTGATGGGGGCGTTGAACAGCTCGCCTCCCATCAGCATTAGGTAGCTGGCAAATGGTGGTCAGCTCATGCCGCAACTTAGAGGGTAGAACAAGCGGAGAAAGCTAAGGAAGCTCACATGTGATGTGTCTGGCGGTGTCAGTATCTATCAGAGAGACAACAACGAAGGAGAATAGTCACCAAGTCCAGCCTTTCTTGTTCCTCTTCATCATTCGGCATCCTGACCTTGTTAATCACGTCCCATGCATTCCGAAGGGGTTGAATTACATGTAATTTCCCTACGGTCGGATCCCCTCGTCAGACCCCGGAACACTTGCGGCAAGAGGTCAACCTACCGAGCGAAAGCTTGCGTATCGGCGCCCATTCTCATACTGATAGTCCAGGATACTGGAGGACAGCGAATAGGTATCCATGAAGTCCTCATCGTAGTCGCTGCGCATCGACTGCGGGGGGCAAATGCAGTGTGAACGTGTGAACCAAGGATCCCCCAGTGGACACTCCGGGCCGGGCCGCGGGCACAAAACCTACCTCGGTGTCGGTAACAAAGTCTTCGTGCTCTGGGAGGGGAATCTCCGGCCCCAGAGGAGACAAAGGAGCGTGGGGCGGTTGGTGGCCGTGGGGCTCTGGGTCTTGTGCGTGCCCATAACGAGTGCTCCCAGTGGGATGGGGGAGCTGGTGTTGCGGTGGTTGCGATGGTTGCGGTTGTTGCTGTTCAGTGGTAGTCATGATGAGAACCTGTCTGTCAATGATACTGAAAATGATGTGATTGAGGGTGAGTGGGAAGAAACAACGAGTGCGACACCCCCCTTAGAAATATGTGGAGAGAATCCAGGGAATGCCAACCGACCATCCGACGGAAATTGACAGGTGCAGATCGCAGGATTGCACCAGTCTATCCCAGTCTATCCCTTGTTCGATTGTCCGATTGTGTGACCCAAGTGTCGTCATTGCGATGAGCCTATGGTGAGCAGCCAAATGCAGGGATCGGGCAGAGCGATCGGCAAGCAGGATCGCTTAGCCTCCTGCGTCGGCCTGTCATCAGATGCAGATCCGTACAGGAAGGGATGGACATCATGGAATGTGTGTGTCCAACGGTGTTAGTCATACCAAATGTGAGCTGTCAATCTCGCTAAGTCTGTTAGACAGTGCACTATCGCAGTACTATTGAAGTCAAAAGTGGGCCGTCACGTTCAGGATTCCCCCGGCGGGTTAGGGCTTTCAACACACGCCAGACACTCAATTCAACTTGAAGCACAACCAAAACTGCGGTCAACGCATGACTATGCTACAAGCTATATGGTAACTTATATATACAGAGCCAAGATGGTAGTTTCCTTCCAATCCTATCACCTTGTCACCCGCTCAGTGACGCTTGGGACGCGCCAGATGACGACGCATGGCATCCCGGCGCGTGGCGGCGGCTGAAATGGTGATGGTCTCCGAGATTCCCGCGGTACAGACCGTGCCCGCAGCCACACTCTGCGACGCATCCCATTCTCCATTGACACAGCGCTGGAACGCAGTGCCCCCGTTGCAGTACCAGTAGCCCTCCTCGCTGCAGGCGCCACTCAAAACCCCGGATGTGGTCGACGAATCCGAGCTCGAAGCCGCAGTGGCCACCGAAGTCGTGGTAGTCGTGGCAGTCGTGGCAGAGTCACCAGCGGAGTCAGTAGCCGAGTTGTCGACCGAAGCACCTGCCTTGACTTGGCCGGGTTGGAAAGTGATATCGCTGCCGGCGGTTGGCTGAGTAGAGACTGAGGTAGTCACACTGGACTCGGAAGACGCCGAAGACGCGGTCGGAACAGCCTCCACGGTGGCACTGACGACGGCGGCAGCGGTGGTGGCCACCGCGGTGGTGCCAGCAGAAGTGGTGGTGATATCGGCAGCAGCGGCTGCGGTCGCAGTGCTGCCCGCAGTGTATAATGCGGGGCCGGGAATAGTATACGTGCTCAGCGTGTTCCAGATGTCCACGTAGATGCCGGGGTCGGTCTCTTTGTACAGCGCAGTGCCCAGGGTGCCACTTGGGGTCGCTGTCTCGCTGCCCGTGACTTCCAGATTAATACACTGGGGGTAATTCTGAGCCCCGTCCAGGTTCTCAGCACTGTGCAGGGCAATGATCTCGTGTCGCAGAACATAGTAACCGGGGGCAATATCGCTGGGGATCGTGATATTGCGACTGTAGCTATCTTCAATGAGCTCATCGGTCGCCCACGTTCCCGGCACGTCCGTATCATCAATCAGGCCGCCAGCATCGATCTTAAAGAATTCGAGGGTGGTCTTGTCCACATCAGCACAAGAACCGTGGCAGTTGGCCAGGTAGGTGATGACAGGGCCGTGATGGTCGGTCGGCCAGGTATTCCAGGTCATCTGCACCCAGCCTCCGGGCGCGACAGGGGCCGACAACGCGCCAGGCGCAGAGCCCTTGTGGCAGATGATGTTGACGCTCTCGTAATCGGAGGGCGACACATAGCCATCATCCGTGGCATTGGTGGACCAGGCGATCAGCTCGGGCGGGTCGGATTCGAAGTAATAAGTGTCGACCAAGTACCCTCCATAGGTGGTACCGTCCACCTCGATGCTCGAGACATAACCATGACCGGCGACCAGCGAGACCGAGCCCAGCAGAAGAGTGGCAATCTTGGAAAGAGACATCTTGGCAAAAGCACCGCACAGCGGTGTGTTATATCGAAGGTGAAAAGAAAGGAAGGGACTTCAGTCAATGAAGTCCAGACAGGAACGAAGGAGCGACTCAGGAAAGGAAAGACAGGTTTGCTGAATGGACCTCCGATGCCAGAGGGGTTTTGCATCTATTTAAGCATGTGGGATGCATGATGCCGGACGGGCGATGGCGAGGTCGGAAACGAGATTGTCATCACCAAGCGAGATAGGCAAACCTTGTGCCTGGTGACGACTGAGGGGAATGAACCAGTGGCTTGGGGTCTTGGAACAGCCATGAAGGCTCGAGGCTGTCTAGGATGTTTCACCATTTCTGAGACAAACCACACTCGTTCGTTGTTTGACGCCGGGGTGGGACTGCGGAAACACGCCATCGAGACGCCAGTGGCTTAGCGAGATTGAGGTGGGGCCCTCGGTGTAGGGTAGGCTGAATGGGCTCTCACATGATGAGGCAGAAAGGTTGAGACGTTGAGAAGTAGTGAGAAAAGGATCACCCGGGAGAATCTGTGCGTTGATATTCGGAAAGCGTGCGATACCTGGTGATGTTGATGTTGGTATTGATGTTGGCGGTAGGAAGAGGAAGAAAAGGAGGAGGAGGAGGCGGCGGCGGCGAGAGCACGTGATTTGGCGTGGCTGGAAAGCAACGACCGGAGCGGAAGAACTTAAAGCCTGCCCTTTCCCACCTGGGTAGTCACGTGGCCTACTTCCCCGTTCACCGCCAGTCCAGTCCAGTCCAGTCCAGTCCATGCAATCGCCAATCCACTTAACATATGCAGTACAATCGTTCGTGCCTGGCCGTGCCTGTCCGGTCATAAGTCACTACGTGATCTGTTGTAATGCCTGTCTGAACGGATTTAATCTCGGTTGCGTTGGCGGCGAGGGCGAGTGGCTGGTCTCTTTGATGTCAGTATGGAGACAATATAGTACTTCCTGGCTCTGTTCGCTAGCCGGTCTGCGTTGAGAGCGCGGCGATCATGGATCATGTTCCCTCTTGGTAGCATATCTCATTACCTTCACTCTTGCTCAAAACGCTTGGTACGCATTTAGTCTGCCTGGAAGGGAGATCATATCCATGGCTGTCCGCTCATTTCTTCACTCTCCCCCAAACCACGGCCAATGATTTCCTTTGCGGTCCCTGACTTGATGGTATTCCTTTGGTGTTCATATTGGACTCAATACCTTGCTATACACTTCATCGCATCTCTGCCCAGTAGGCTCGTTTGCGTTGGCTCGGATTCATACCGATATCAATTGAGGTTGTTCCGAGAGAGCTTTATCAGATACGAAGATAATCCTGATAAGCGCCACGACTGACGGCGAATCGAGTGCTATCTCCCCAAGAATGTTATCGTTCTCGACCGCGACGCCACCAGACTCGGAATGAACCGATCTCGCTATATGAACCCGGGACTGGGGCCCCTCAACACCCTGACATGAAGTAGATCCGCTCATACTCTGCGACGTGCTGCGATGGAGGAATTATCGGCCCGCCAAAAGCCATGCCTTTCAGTAACGACAAAAATGGAGAAGAGTGTAGAGCCCGAACATGACCAGCAAGACGTGGAGGTCGGCATGGTGGCCGCCGTGTCTCATGAAGGGCCGGGCCTCAAGCGCAATTTCAACATGATCAGCATCATGGCCTTGGGGTTTAACACTTCCAACAGTTGGATTGCTATTGCAGGCAGTCTACCCCTAGCCATTGCAGGAGGGGGCACGGTAACCTTACTGTACGGTATCTTGGTGGTGTGCTTTGCCATGTCCTGCACTGGGCTCAGCCTGGCCGAGCTGGCAGCCGTGTATCCATCGGCTGGTGGTCAATATTACTTCACTTCCATGTTGGCTCCAGCACAGCATCGCCGGTGGTTGTCCTACTTGTGTGGGATCATCGGTATCTGGTCATGGGTGGCCATCGCTGCCTCGCTGTCATTGATGATCACGGAGGGTATTATGGCTCTGGCTCTCACCTATCATCCCACCTTTATTCCACAATCCTGGCATTACTTCCTCATGTACCAAGCGGTGCATATCATTGCCATGGCATACAATGTTGGGTTATTGTCCAAGACGGTTTGGGTCTATGACTGGGCCTGTGAGTATTTGATCCATTGCTTTTCGAAAGAAACATCTTAACGATGATCACAGTCTACTTCTCTCTGGCCCTATTTGTGATCACAACAATCGTGTGTCCCGCACGCTCGGCCGTTCATGCAGACTCAGCCACCGTCTGGGGACATTTCGTCAACTCCTCGAATGGATATTGGTCTAACGGGATCGTATTCCTGACCGGTCTGTCGACCCCGTCCTACATGCTCATCGGTCTGGACGCCACGATGCATATGGCAGACGAGTGTCTTAACCCAGCACGGACCATCCCGCGTGCCATCTTGTCGACCGTGAGCATTGGTTCTGTGGCTGCCTTTGCGTTTGCCTTGGCCATGTGCTACAGCGTAACCGACTTTGACAGTCTGGTTGATGCGGCCTCAGGGTAAGGCGGGATTCTTAATTCCAGTGTCTTGATGCTAAGCGCAATCTTGACAGGTTCCCGATTTACGATCTATGGGCACAGGCCAGCCGATCGACCACCTGTGCGACGGTCTTCCTCGTCGTGATGATTTCGATCATGTTTGTTTCTGCTTGCGCAATCCACTCCACTGCCTCGCGGTTGACCTGGTCGTTTGCGTGTGACAACGGGATTTTTCTCTCGGGGTATTTAAAGCAGCTAGACCACCGACAGGGCGTTCCGCTGTATGCTCTAGGCCTCAATTTCGTCGCCTGCTTCGTGATCGGATTCCTCTACCTAGCGTCTTCTTCCGGTAGGATTCCCCCAAACATCCTCGAGGCTCACAAGCTGGGTCGTGAGTACGAGACTGACTCACCTTCTCTAGTCTTCAATGCGTTTGTCGGAACCGCCAGTATTCTGTCGCAGATTTCCGTCACGCTTCCGATCGCATTGCTCATCTGGCAGCGTCGGTCGGAGGTCTACCTCCCCAGCGGGCGCCACTTTGGCCTTTCGCCGGGACTGGGTTACGTCTGCAACATCGTCGCTGTGGTCTATACCATCATCGTCACCATCTTCCTCTGTTTCCCTACCTCCTTTCCGCTTACGGGTGGCAATATGAGTAAGGATACCTCCGGTTCTCGTTACTAGTAATCTTGTTGCTGACGTACTTTGATCTCTAGACTATACTGCACCGGTGCTTGGGGTTGTTGCCATCCTGACCGGGCTCAATTGGGGATTCTATGCGCGTGGTCGATACGAGGGCGCTCACGTGGGGTAGCGCTGTCGCATAAGTGTATTTTTTCCTAGATAACGAATATGTGACGCTGGCGTTTTTAAAGTTACGTGGAAAAGCGTGTGCGATGCTTCTTGTTCCACGTGGATTAGGGGATTGGGAGGGAGGTTGGACGTTCCCCGCATGGGGTCCGGAATCTCTTTCGGAACGGTTCCTATCGATTACGGTTTCGGATACAGTATGCGTAGCAAGATAAGATAAGTGAGGGGTGAGGGGACCGGTATAACGTACGTATACTATTGCTATCGTAGACCGCGTCAGCCGCCAAGTGGGCACCAGATTTAACTCTTATAGTTGTCATTGCATAAGAACTACGCACTGCCTGGCCCTGGGGTACAGTATGCCCAAGAAGTGTGGTGCTTTACTCTCTGAGGTCTGCAGGCCAGTCAGAAATTGGGCTGAATGAATAGGTTTCGAGTATATCTTGCCTTGTGCTAGGGGATTCAATGAAGGGCAACGACCAAGTCCAATGGGCTTCGCATCTTGGGTTCCATTTATCAGTTGGAAGGAGCTAGAAAGGGTCGCTAGATTTGTGAATAAGTTGACATGACACCAAGCTCATTAGTCCTCAGACATACAGCTCAGGGCTATGAGTAGAAGTATACACCCTGGATCATGGATTTGATCTGATAAGGGCTTCTCAACCCGGGGGGTCAATCGGATTCTTTCGGCTGGTCGGATGTTGCCGGGCTTGGTGCTGGTGCCCCGCAAATCTGGCACCCCAACAACTCAACTCACGGTCGCCGAAATATCCCCGTTCTCGGATCCGACAGCCCTGCCTCTGTCTGGGAATTCATTAGCAGCACTGCAGCACTGCAGCAAGATGCCTGATTATGCAATAGGGGCCGGGTCTTGTCTTGAGAATATAACTTGGGTAGAAGATCCGCCTTGCAAATACTTGGATAGTAGTTCATTCTGTCTGGCTCTTGCCTCCCTTTTTTCCCTACCACCCAATCTCCCCTCAACCACTTCCATCCGTTTATTTAATCTGTCATTGAAATCGCGCTTCTTCGAAACCGCTACCCTTCTCTCCTCTATTCTGTTCTAGATACTGAAGGTATGGTCCAACCGCTGGCTCCAGCAATGCAGAACCTCACTAACCCCTCGTGGCAGCCATCATGCTCATCACCCGCGGATTCTCCCTAACGAACTTCGTCATCGCCAGCTCGGCCCTCTGTTTCCAGGTCTTTGTCCTCTATCCCTGGCACCACAAGCTCGAGGACGACTTCAAGGAGCTCAAGCAGGAACACTTGCGGCTGCTGAAGGAGAATGAGGATAGCCGGGTGAAAGAATTGAAGAGTATCAAGGAACATCTCGGTCTCCTCCACCAGAAGGCTCAAGCGTGAGCAACACTCGGAGGCATAATACCGGCACTTTGACATGATTCATGCATTTCGTCAGCGGGATAGAGATAGACTGCATGCATAGAGAAGGTCGCGGGATTGTATATACTGCGCGCAGGAATCGAACATCTTCTTGCTCTGTTGCTAAATGGAATACCTAGGGTACAACGTGCGGTGATATCCACGAGTATGATCGGCTGGAAAAGACCAGTCGTGCCAGATCAATATCACATTTAAACAGGACGCGTCATGCTTGTCACATTCCCATCAGCTTGCTAACTCTTATACGAATTTCAAACAGGTTCTCGCCTCGACACTACCCCCTAAGGCTATCAGGCCGATACATTGACAGCTGCATTGGCGGGCCCCGTGGCAGCCGCGTTGGCGGCCGCATCCAGAGCGTCCCTCGCCACCCCGGTCCCAGCCCTTTCAGCAGCCTCATTCGCAGCCCCGTTGAGGGCGCCTTTGAGACCTCGGACATTGCGATCCGCCCGCACAAACGCTTTATAGGCGGGGAACAATCCCTGGGGGTCATATTTCTCCCGGACGAGCAGGAACTTCTGCAAAGCCGTGTCGGTGATCACCCGTGCCTGCACTGGTGTAAGTATCACATCTCAGTCTGGGAGAGACAAACTTACGTTAACGTCCTCCCAGTTGGGATCCAAGTCCACGACAAACATCCCCACAGCAACAGACAGAGCCCGCTCATACCGCTCCCGGATATGCTGGCGAAGACCGGACTCGCGCTTGGGGTCCGTCCAAACAGTCGCCGTCATCAGGTACAGGTCCTGGGGCAAGCTCATCACCATCTTATTCTCGTCGGGCCGCTGGTCGCAGTGGTAGATGTATACGTTGGATTGCCGGGTGGGCAGATCTAGCAGGGCGGGTTTCATGGTTTCCAGCAACTGACTTTTGTTAGGGCATGAATGATAGAAGACTGAAGGCGAACTCACCCGCGAAAGCGAGCAACCCGGATCGCTGAAGATACTATTGTTGTGGACGCGGGTACCCGGCCCCGGACCGGCTTCTCCGGCGGCGAGCACTTCCTCAAAGGTGCACTTCTGGACGGGCTGTTTGTCGAGCATGAAGTCCTGCACCTCGCCGACTTGGTCGTAGGCACCAAGCATGGTCTGCGCCTCGGACTCTGTGTCAGCATAACAGTACAGCAGCAACGTGAGGTGCAAACGGGCCCCGGGCGGGACCTCGTCCCCGGTGGCGTCCGCATCGTCTTGCGCGTACGCAATGGCCATATTCAGGTCCGTGTGCTCCTTGGGTGTAGCCCGGCCGGCCTCGATGGCCCAAGTCAACAGCGTCTCGTAGTTGTCGTGGTTTATCTCGAATTCCAGGGTTCGTTGCCAGGGCGTCTTGGCGGGGATGGTCTTGCCCCAAAACCGCGTCACAACTCCAAAGAAGCCCAATCCGCTGCCGCGCGCGGCCCAGAAGAGGTCGGAGTAGTGCTCATGATCTGCAAGAACAATGTCGCCGGTGGGTAGGACAATCTCCATTCGGGTGACGAAGGTCGCGGCGGCACCGAGACTCCGCATGAAGAACCCTTGTCCGCCCCCGAGAAGATAGCCGGCCATGGCAACGGTCGGCGCATGGCCGATGGGGAAGAAGCGGCCGACTTCGCTCAGCTTCTCGGTCACCTCGCTGATGCGGCAGGACGGCCCAAAGGATATCTGGGCGGTGGTTTCGTCATAATCCACACGTCGGTTGAGGTTGGTGGTGTCGATCAGGATGCCATCTTGCACAAGATATGGCGACTGGGCGGCATGGCCTGATGAACGCACGCTCACGGGGGTTCCGAGCTCGGTGGCTCGATGGAGGGCTTTCTTCACATCCACCGCGCTCTCCACGAGATGGATCTCACGGGGATAGCGAGGCCCGGCCGCACTCGGGTTCATCTCACGGCATCGTTCGTACTCGGGGTCTCCACGGAGGAGAACCTTCGAGGAGTACTCGGGATGTGTGATGTATTCAGGTGGTGCCATTTTGTTGCGAATGGTGGAAGGCTGATGCGACTGAATTTGGGTAAGAATCCAGACAGTAGCCAACTCGCAGTGCCATCTATATAGCTTCCCATCCCCATCTTTGACTCTTGACGTCACTGATTGAATGTGGCTTGGTGAAGAGTGGTCAAAATCTTATTTGCAGCGTGTGTGCTGGTGTCTATACCAGACGCCATCGACTGGTCGGGAAGAGTATCCATGGGTGGCAGGTGTTGGCATGTGCAGCATGCAAGGGTGAAACTGAAAGCTGAAGAAACTCTGTGATGACCAGGGAAATGGAGCCTTGAACCTGGAAGATCTTCGTCTGCCACCGTGCTAGGCGGTTCCTTTTGACTGTCTGGAATGCCAGAGGCGTGCATGACGGTATCATCGAGGTGTTGGATGACGATGGATGATGGTTTACACTGCAGGCGCAGTGGGCAAGCAGTCAGGTGCTTTGCGTTGCGGCAAATTGGACTCTGCGACCAGACTACCCTTGTGCTTGTAGCTCTTGATGAGGGTTATCTCTGCGTGCTGGAAATCAGTCATTTGTCCACGCTGCCGAAAAATGTTCGTCTTGGATTTTCTCGCCGGATATGACTTCATTTTCTGTCCTCCCAGGTGGGGGTAATGGACCGATGTTTATGTGTTGTACTGTACAGTATGAACACTTTGATAATGCGTATGCATCAGGGTGAAAAGGGAAATCTTCGATTACTTGGAAATCAATACCAACTAATAACTCACCTGATGCTCATCGGCAGCATAAGTTAGGGCTCGCAACATTGAGGAGTGCCGATGTCGGACGCGACCGAGGCAATCCGACTCTCGTCCCTGATGTCAACCAAGAATCCATGATCTTCTTCACCCAGTCGCGGCTCCACTTGGCGAAAAAAAGCCTGTATCAGTAGCCGAGTCTTGCCGTCACGCTTCCACCCAAACCAAGGATTTCTGACACATCATAATTTCCATTGCAACCCTTGCTACTGGCTATTTGCGGGTTATGGCGAGCAAGCGACCGTCTCACGCAGTCCATCAGAGCTCCCCCGCTAAATTCGGGATGGATGAAACAAGTCCTTGTCAGACGTCAACCTTACTCTGATGTCATCTCTCCCTACTGACATCTGTCAGAGGATGGGGGACCCACTCGATGAAGCAGAAGGATGACCACTGGTGAACAATCTCAGTTTCCAACATCGATCTAGAATTGGGTCCTAGTTGATCTCTATCAGTCCGTTCACAGCAAGGACCAGGACTCAATCGATTTTCGATAATTATCCCATAGCTTTCCAGGTTGACTAGATCGATGATAACACAATGCAAGGGTTATCTTTAGCTGACGGTCTAGAATTCTTCTTTCTCGCAATTTTCTTTTGTTTTTCTGCGCCCTGTTAGTCTTGAGCGAACTGCCACATGGTTGACTCGATCCGCATTAGGGGACTCGTGAAGATACAGACAGGTCACATTGCGTCGGAGGCCTGAGCGAGAATACTCTTTACCTATCGGTTCAATCCGTCTCGTATTGTGGATGCGATAGATATCTAAACTTAATTGGGATGTCTGATCGCTCATTCACAACTAATTTACAGCGTCGGCCGGGAATGCTCGGCGAATGTAGCAGTTTTGCCGAAGCCGAACCTCCCGCACAGCATGGGGTAGTAGGCAGTAACAGCCCGAACAGTCGATTCGAAGCTAGATGTAAAGGATTTTTCTGCTTTTTCTACAAGTGTGGAAACAAAGAAAAAGGGGGGAGGACTAAGTCTTTTTAAGTTTACTTGCAGTCTGCCCCCGGGTTGGAAATACGAGGGCAAATGCACAAGTCACAATTCACAGTCGTCAACAGATGCAGTTCGGCAAACGGGCGCTCCACCTTCCAAGCCTCACCTTCCCGGACTCAGTTCCTAAAGTCCTCAAGTCTCCAACGACTGCCGATCGAACCATGGGTCAAACACTTCTCGAAGCTCTAGTTCCCCTTAGTGCTACTGCTCGGACATGAGTGTGCCTGAGGAACTGGGCCGGTCCGGCTCCGATGAACTTCGAAGGTTGATACAATAATACAGTCATAATATCATAATGGACTATGTTAAGACGGGCTCCATCCAGGAGGGAGGACTCTCACACCGCGGTGCAGTGGACACTGGGCTCTCTAGGGCACGGCCCGGCGTGTCGGGTTGCTGGGGACATTTGGGAACGTTCGACCTTTCGGCGATAATTCCCGGCCATAAAAATCCTTTGTTCCGCTACATCGCATCCACTCCGTGCTAAAAACGATCCGACCAGTGTCGAGGGGGATGCAATGATGCATCGCAATGGGGACTGGAAGGAGCGGTAAGATTAGAAAAGGAGAAGAAATGGCGACGATGAAGTGGGTCTCTTTCCCCCTTCCCCCCCCCCCCCCCCTCCCGGTCAGAAGCAACCAAAGCAAGCCAAGCCAGATCCTGCAGATCCACTTCTCAACCATTGCCGGACACAAATCTGGCGAGTGACAGATGTCAGAAGTCAAATTCACGGCATAACTGCAGTACATTTTATAGGAGACCGTTTATTATTTCCCAAATCGCCTCCTTCATAACCCTATTTGGGCCAGCTTGCTGGTGGGAGCCTGGCACAAAGTGGATTTGCCTGGGGATTCACTTACACATCACATTTGCCATGCTCCGCTCACTACGGAGTACACTAATGCATGACAAAAAAAGAAATGATGGGAAAGAGTCGACAGAGGACGGAGGACTGAAGAAAATGGCAAATGAAGAAGAAAATCTCGATTTCGGAGTGGCCCCGTTCATCGTAAATAGCAGATCGATCGCCCCCTTCTCGATGGAACGATTCGTAGTCAACTTGCTGTTTAAGTCGGCCTGTCTGTCTGTCTGTCTGTCTTTCTTTGCTTTTCCTCCGATTAGATTGTCGATTTGCCGCTACTATTGATTGCGAGCAAGAACCCTAATTCCCCATCTACACATACAACCATGGTTCTTCAGGGAAAATCCTCCAATGTCCCCCGGCATGTTGATCGGAAGGCCCTCTATACCGATCTTGGGGCACGAGTCCACTACTTGCAGCAGTTTCTAGAGTTCAGCGAGGGTCAGTGCTGTCTGGATCCAACTAGCAATTGAAGTGTCCTCCTTGACTAACAAAGATTTTGAATAGATGATGTCGCCGCTCTGAACAAGGGATCCAAATACATCAAGGCGCTGGCGCCTACCCTGGTCGATAAAGTATACGCGAAGCTCCTCGAGAACGATATCACAGCTCGCGTCTTTCGCACACGCGACACATCACTGGAAGATGAGGAGGAAACCACCTATCCCACCTTTGACAGCGCCTACATTCAGCGCCGCCGGATGTTCCTGCGCTGGTACATGACCAAGCTTTGCTCTGACCCTACCAAGCCGGAATTCTATGAGTACCTGAACAAAGTCGGGTAGGTTGCCTGTCCCCTCGGCTGTCTGGCCCCTCGAGAACCCTGCTGACTCGTCTGCCAGGCGTATGCACATTGGCAAAGACCGCATGCTCGCCTTCCACGTGGAATACATCCACATCGGCGTGTGTCTGGGGTACATCCAGGACATCATCCTCGAGGCGGTCTTCAGTCACCCGCAGCTCACGCTCGCCTTCAAGCTGGCGCTGGTCAAGGCGTTGAGCAAGGTGATCTGGATCCAGAACGATCTCTTCGCCCGCTGGCAGGTGCGCGACGGCGAGGAGTTCATGAAGGACGAGACTGAGTCGGTTCACGAGAACAAGGAGCAGCAGCATGATGATGCGACCTCGTACATTACCCGCTCCAACACGCAGCTCTCCGAAGCCCCGAGTAGTATCTTCTCCGATACGCGGTCGGTTGACACGGCCACCAGCCATTTCACCGCCACGATGCACGCCCCAAGTTCCTCCCACTCCTCCCACTCAGCCTGTCCGTTCTCGGGCGGATTCAAGCAGTCCTTCGAAACGAAGGTCTGGTCAGGGCCAGATGGGAAAAGAGGTCACTGACCGACCTCCCTTATGGCATTGATGATTTCCTTTTTTCGGCATAGGTATAGGTATATAGGGACACGCGGTCTAGGAACATATGGGGTACTTCGGAGGGGGGGTGGGGTTGTCGGGATTCTGGGACAGGACTTGGATTTGGTGTTTGGTCTGGATATGCGCTTTTTGTTTGCTTGATTCTGCTGTATTTGATTCCCCTTTTTCTGCAGAAATGAACTGTTGCTTTTCTCTTTTTACTTTGACGGAGGTAGACGTACCTTGTAATGCTGAGCAGTTCCAGCTGTGGGACGGAGAGATCTCCCTTGCTCCGGCATCGGAATAAACATATATCATCCGCGTGTCGCCCTCTTATCCCCTTCATTTTGCACTGGACGTTTACACCACGGACCGGACTATTACTCTATAAGATGCATTGAAGGTTCATGACACTTCCTCGGCTACGGCCTCCCGATGAAGCACCGAGCTTTCCATCCACTTGGACAGATAGGATCAACCACCATCTGGTAGGAACCCTGTAGCGGGGACCACCAGCAGACCATCCATCGCCTACGACCTACGACCTACTCCCACCCCTCCCCCTACATACAAGCATATTTCACCCTCGTATAGCCAAGAAATCCAGGCGTCGGATCCGACCGAATCGGGTGCCAAAGTAGTCTGGGATGAATTGGGGGATGTGTACGAGCGTGGGTGAATCGGGTCGGCGAACGGCCGGTCGGACTTTCCAGCGCGGAGAGCCGTGAATAGGCTTTCATCGCGAGGCTGCTAGAGGATACGAAGGCGGTGCTTTCCAATCGAGCGCGACATGTTACTTCTGCTTCGATCACGTTCGTCTCAAAGCTCCATTTGCAACGAGCGGTTCTCGTGGGAAATGTTGAGACTTGGTGTAGGGTCGGGGGGAACTTGGAAGCTGGTAATGCGATTGTTCTAGAGAGACAAGACAGGGTAGGAGAGACGAGATGGCCTAGAGTCTACTAGGTAGTATCTGTCAGTAAGGATTGGTTTGGTGGAGAAGGGAATCTTCGTTCCTTCATTGCAACTCTGTCAGTGTGTTTTCGAGTGATAGAGTAGAGCTGCTACCAACTCAAACGGGGAGAGGGGAAGCATCGAGCTTGGTTAAAACAACAATGGCGAATGTGTGCCGTCTTAAGTGTTAGAGCGAATGATGGTGGTGGTGGTGGTAGTCGTGAGAGAGAAATGGCGAACGAACGATGGATGATGGAAACCCGACCGTAGAGATCACGTGCGCTACTACTTTGTTGCCTCACTGCCTTACTGCCTCGCTGCCTAGGCTGCCTTGCTGCCTGGCCATCCGCTGCTGCCCAAGGCAGAACTAGTATGCTTCATCCAGCACGTTACTGCCGTGGTTGGCCCTACCCAAAGTTATCATGCATAGCCTAGCAGCTTCTTAGATGCTCCATGAATGATGCTTGTTCACCTGGCAAGTATACCGAAAGGTAAAGGATTGTCTCCGATAGGTCCGATGCCAGTCGGAATCCTCCGAACCCCACTGCACCGCACCGGGTCGGGTGGGCACATTCGGAGACATACATTAAGATACTATTCATACTGGCCATAAATTCGCATGCAAGGTTGAGTTGCGGACCATATCGGGAGGTCAGAGACTCCCAAATCATCCCATATATCATCGTATCCTCACGTCAACGTCGCCGAAATGTTTCTTCTTCCCCCTTACCAGATAGCCCTTGTCCAGGCCGAGCCCTCCAGCTCCAGTGCCTCCACCCCAGCCCTCACCACTACAAAGGCCACCCCCCAGCCTGCTGGTCCCTATGACATCCTGATTCGAGTCACCGTCGTGGCGCTCAACCCCACGGATTACAAAATGCCATTACATCACCCTACTCCCGGCGCAACGATGGGCTGCGACTTCGTCGGTACAGTCATGACAGCTGCCACCGCCAGCACGTGGGATGGAGAAGCCCTTCCCCAGCCAGGTACACGCGTTTGCGGTGCCGTTCACGGATCAAATCCGGGCAATCCTGACATTGGCGCGTTCGCCGAGTACCTCGTGGCCGATGCGCGGCTCGTCCTCCGCGTGCCTGTGGCGTGGAGTGATCTGGAAGCGGCGGCACTGGGCGGCATTGGCTGGGGAACGCTGGGGCTGGCTTTTTATGACACTCTCCGGCTCGAGGGCCGGCCATCGGCGCCGGTCTGCCCTAAGGCAGACGGGGGTCGTGTGCCCGTCTTGGTGTATGGCGGCGCCACGGCAACGGGGACCATGGCTTGTCAATTGTTAAGTCTGTATGTGCAGTACTCCTTTCGCTTCGTCATCTCTCGGGTGCTGATATTGAACGTGTCCACAGATCTGGATACAGCCCCATTGCCACGGCCTCTCCGGCCTCTTCGCAATTGGTCCAATCGTACGCAGCAGCATCGACTGTCCCCTATACCGCTTCGGACTGCGTGGCTAGAATCAGGAAAGAGACCAACGCATCGCTGCGCCACGCGCTGGATTGTATTACATCACCAGAATCCGCGGCAATCTGCTGCGAGGCCATGTGCCGGGCGGGTGGCAGATATGCATCTCTGGAGTTCTGCCCAGAAGAGTGGCGCAAGCGGAAGGTTGTACAGATGGAGATGGTGTTGGGCTATGAGATGTTCGGGAGGGAGGTCATGCTGGACGGCGTGTATCATCGTCATAAAGACGTCCGGAAGTTAGAGTTATCGACCGGTTGGTGTCGCGAAGTGCAAGTGCTGGTGAACCAGGGCTTAATCCGATCGCATCCGGTCCGGGAGGTGGAGGGGTCCTGGGAGGGGATTGTAAAGGGATTGCAGATGATGAGGAAGGGGGAGGTCCGGGGAGAGAAGTTGGTGGTCCATTTGAGTTATTAAAGCACCAAGTTTGGTTCTCTCTGTTCCAAGGACGCAGTTACATTACTGCAGGCTTTAATTTATCTTTGCCGGGGTGGGGACAGCCTTGTTAAGGAGATGCTGCATCAAGCACGTGAGTGCTAGTTAATGGGTGGCTTTCAGTTGAACGCGGTGCTCTGAACAAGAAGGATTAACATAGACAGAACCACCCAAATCTATACTACATATATGACTATCTACCTATTAGTATAGCCCTACTACTTGGCTTGCTCCACATCTACCTGTTCCGCTTTCTTCTCCTCCAACCCATACTCCGTCTCGAGCTCTGTCCGAAGCTTGATCTCCTTCTCAAGGAACACGAGCAGGAACGATACCCCAGAGAAAACGATCGAGATTTGCCACACCCGCTTGAGCGCGTCCGCGTACACCCCGACGATATCGTCGCGTAGCGCGGGAGAAAACGACTGGATGAAGCTGGCCGACGCCGATTCATAGGCCCTCCCGCGTGACAACAGCTCGCGAACCTGCGCATCGGGGATCCGACCGGACAGCTGCTCGAACCGGTTGTTGAAGATCGCGGCGGGAATGGCCACGCCCCAGATGTTCCCAAAGCTGCGAACAAACGACCAGGCTGCGGTGGCTGCCGCCTGGTCGGACTCGGCCAGCCCGGCCTGGCACGCTGGCAGGAGGGTGTTGAGCACAAACCCGGATCCACCCCCGGCGATCATCTGGAAGATGACCCATTCTGCAGTGGTGCTGTTCCGATCAAACAAAGTGAAGAGACCCAGCCCAATGGTGCAGACTGCAAAACCAATCAGGTGGAGGGGCTTATAGCGGCCAAATTTGGCCAGGAGGAGGACGGCGACAATGGCCGCGGGCACAGCGACGACAATGATTGGGAGGACCTGTACCCCAGACCGCTCCGCAGAGGCACCCAAGACGGCTTGGAAGTAGACTGGCAGGAAGAACATCACCCAATACAACAGCGCAGAGTTCAAGAAAGTGGCTGCAAACACGGTGGCTGAGGTGCGATTGCCAAAGAGTCGAGGTGGGACCACCGGTTCACAAATCCAGGGAGAGTTTTCCAAGGCGACGAAGATCAGCAATCCTACTAGGCCAAGAATGAGGAATACAAGGATGTGCCACAATGACCAGTCATACTTGGTCCCTCCGTAGGTGAGCGCGAAGAGCACGGAGACCGTCGTTGCGATCAAAATGGCGTTTCCGATATAGTTGATGCGACGGATCTTTTAAAGGAAGCTCATCTCTTTGTTCAATTGAATATGGAGGAAGAAGAAGATCATGGCCAAGGACACTCCTCCAACAGGGAGGTTGATAAAGAATACCTAGAATTCTATAAGCGGTCATGTTTGGGCCGACCATGGTGTGGTCTGCCGGTACTCACCCATCGCCAGGTCGAATTGTCAACAATAGCACCTCCAATCCACAGTCCCAATGCCGTCCCGACGAAGTATACCAGGAGGACAAAAGCCATGTAGTTTCCTCGCTCGCGCAAGGGCACCAGATCCGATACAATCACGTCCACGATCATATTGATCCCACCACTGCCCATCCCCTGCACGGCACAGCCGGCAATCAGCATTGCGCCATTGTGAGCTCCACCACAGATCCCGCTTCCGAGGGTGAACAGCGAGACAATCACGAGGGTGATCCATCGGCGGCCAAAGATATTGGCCAGCTGGCCAAACAGAGGCTGTACCGCGGCGCTAAGAGACACAACACATTCAATTCTGTCAGTGGATCTCAATTGCAGTCTGTGAAGGCGCCCCCTACCTAGTCAGAAAGAACACATTCGTCACCCAGATGTAGTTCCCACCCATGTTCAGTTCCGTGACGATGTGCGGCAGGGAGGTGGTCACCACCGTGTTCTCAAGGGCACTCAGAATCCCAATCACACAGAGAGTCGCGATAATCATCCAGAAGCGGAATCCCCTTTCAAACGATGGACCGGCCTTTTTTTGCTTTTCCTGTTCACTGGAACTCTGCTCGGTGGATGCGGAGCTGGCAGAGGGGTCAACGGGAGCTTGTTCAGACATAGTGACCGTGAGATGAAAGAGAGATCAGAAGTGTCACGTTTGTGAGCTTTGCTTAACATCCATCAAGACATAAAGCTGCACAGAAAAGGAGTCAAATGCATTTTTATTGGGAACCAAGTGACTTAGTCGGAGCATTGTTAAGTTGGTCGGGAAGTCGGATCGGAGACTTACAGGGATAGTAGTTAGGGCTACCCTCCGAAAGGACAGAACTACAGCACAGCACAGCACAGCACAACACAAGCTCTAGATTCAGGGGAGGGGGGGCAATATATAGATGGGAGATGGGGGATTTAAAGCAGATAAGCTGCAGAGTGGCAATTTTAGTCGTTAAGGCCTACTATTCTCCTTTCAGCTGCGCCTGCAACCCAACTTCCCCCTCTCGACTGTTAGCAACTACAGTAGGATAGGTAAGCGCCAGTCTAGGCCACCACAATCTTGGCAGCATAATCGGCCCCCATAAGAAAGCACTCCTCCGGCGGGGTAATCCTCCCTCGCGCGTGTCCTCCTGTGAGTCTATGTATGTATGCAGATGCAGTTTAAGTGTGGCTGGCGGGCGTGCTTCTTCCTTTCATATTACGCCTTCTCGCGGGTTGATTCCTCACAGTCAGATTATACCTTCCCCTCACAATTCATTTCTCATTTCTCTTTTAATCGCTTATACTTTCCCCTCTCTGCGTCTCATGCGTGAGGTTGGGGATAAGCAGTTATCTAGCTAAAGATCATGCTGATGTGGATTTGCGCTTGCAGCAGCTGGGCGACCCCACCTTGCTAACCCCCTAGCCCCCTAGGCACCTAGGTAGTGTCCGTCGTCTGAATCCAACATCAGAGCCGTGATCACGTTCCCAGTTGAAAAGTATTAGTGATTAATGCGTCTTGTAGCACCCACTCACTCTGTGGAGTTACAGTTGTATTCACATGGGCCTCCATCACAGACTCGTCAGCGCGCCCTGCAGCCCGATTTGAATTGTCTCTTGGAGGATGATAAGAATAAAAGATGGTGAGCTCAAGGCTAAGCTCAAGGCCAGAGAGACAAAGTACGGAGTAAGGCAGTAAGAGAATAGTAACAGTAATGCACTGCCAGATCAGGTATTGGTTAACCAACACTCCCTCACTTACTGTCAGATGCATAGGTAGGTATCTTAGTACTAAATAGCGGATTGGTGTAAGATTTGGTTAGGTAAGCTGACGCTCGCTAGTAACTACTGCATAAGATCCGTACCTACAGATCCTAGTGGTAATTTACCAAGTTACCAAGTAACAGGTAGTGAACGTGGCCTGGCTAGCCTGGAGATAAAGTACGGTGTGGTGTAACTTATATGGCTTATATGGCTATGGCTTCAGCCGCCTCACCATCAATTATCATCATCATCAGCATCAGCATCAGCATCATTACTTCCCCACTCCGCGGCCTTGTCTTTTACCGTTCACGTCTCCAGGACTTTTAGGTAGACGGTAGACGGTAGACGAGGAGGAGTACCTACCAGGAGGAGCGCTGACATCTATTGTTCGCGATGGGGAACTATTCCCTCGGGGGCGAAATGCACTTGAGCTCTCTCCAAGCCGAGACGATCGTCTACCCAGCAGCCAAACGGTATGCCTGCGACCGTTGTCGCACTCAGAAACTGCGGTGCCCACGCGAACAGCAGGGTGTACATGATCCCTGCGCTCGTTGTATCCGAGCTGGAGTGGAGTGCGTTACCAGCGATGCCAAACCCTCGGGCCGCCCATCGCGCTCCGATCATCGCCCGATTCCGCCCTCCCGGAGGCAACATCCACAACATCCACAACCACCACAACCACCACAACCACCACAACCAAGCATGGACAGCATTCAGACTATCGAGACTCTCGAAAATGACACTGGGATCACCCCCTCAACCATCCCTCCAATCATTGACCCCACCACTAATCAGACCATGGCAGAGGGCTGGGATAATGCATTTCTCCAATGGAACCACCAAAACGGGTTCTCCTTGGGGCATCACGACCACCACACCCCCTCCCTCAATGACACCACCATGTTGAATGGAGACGCGGCTCCAACCAACTCGGATCTCGCCCTTGCATTCCCACCCTTGGCGACCGATACACCATCCTTGACGCCTCCATCTGCATCGGCCTGGGTCGACCCAGCTGAGCCCCTGCAGTTTCCGGACCGCGAAGAGGATGCCGTGCGACGGTTGGCCTCGCTTGCGGGATCACTACAAGCCCTCTTGACCCGCATGGACCCTTCACTGTGGGATAGTATCTTACTGAACATTGCGTGCTCAAACGGGTCCGGTCCGGTTACCGAGCTGCCAAAATGGAACCCACTGGATGAGGCGCTCAAGGGCACCGCTGAATTCGTCGCCATCCTGCAGGCGTTACACCCCTCCCCATCGCCCTCCGGTTCCTCTTCTCAGCCACGTCTCAGCCCGGCAGGATCTGCAGAGAGATTCCCGACCGACTCGGGCCCCAATCGATCATTTGTTGGGGGAAGTCCAATGAGTGGGGGAAGTCCCTCCCAGACCGCCGTGTTCTCCACCCCCACGGTTCTCATGGTCATTGCATGCCACATGCAGATCATTCAGCTCTACGACTTCATCTTCACGCAGGGTCAAATCTCTCTGCAGGCCATGCCGGAAGAGGACATTGCCAGCTTTCGCATGCTGGGCGGGTTGCAGGTGGCAGGGATCCCGCTGACCCAGGGCCATCTGCAAGTGAAGATCCTCATCCAAGTGATCGAGCACCAATTGCATCGCATGGAGAGGCTGATGGGGCTTCCCGTGGAGTTCCGGATCTCCGGTCGCTCGGAGGTATACCAGGGCTTATTCAATACTTTGGAATCGGTGACCTTGCTACGGGCTGCCTTGAGCCGGACGGAGGAAATGCAAAGCACTACGGGCGTTCATCAGATCTTGTCGCTGAAAGAAAACATGAAGAGAATCCAGCAGATGTTATGATCCTTCACTATCCGTTCTCTGCTGTTGCTAGCCTTGGGAAATGAAACTTTCAATTCTTTTCTCCTCCTTTGCGTGCGCATATGGAATGGACTTCAGTAAAAGTTTCCTGATTCCGCATGAGTACATCGGCAGTGGGTCATTTGAGATAGATGGTCTTATACAATGACATGCTTCCACGACCAATGGCTCTAAGTCATCGACTCCCCAGCGCTGGGTCTGGAGACCGGAGTGTATCGGACAATTACCGGTGGCTTTTCCCAGATGGCGTACAGGTGCAAGTCCCGCTCCCAGTTCACTTCCCCTTGATTTAACAGCTCCCAGTCAAATTCCCAGATCATCTTGGCCAAGAGAATCCGGGCCTGCATGTATCCCATGTTCTGTCCGATGCATCCGCGTGGGCCCATGCTGAAAGGCTTGAATGCGCTCTTGACGTCCGCATCAAAGAGACGGTCATAATCCGGATGGCTTGGAGGCAGAAATCGCTCAGGATGGAACTCCCGAGGCTTTTGAAAGTACCGCGCCGAGTGCGTGACTGCAAAGCCCGCCGTCTGCACCACGCACTACCATCCCAGCGAGGTTAATCTCCGCTTTTCAACATGCTAGGCGAAGATGTAGGGGGGCAGCTGGACTCACCCCGGCTGGAATATAGTGGCCATCCACCGTGTCCCCAGGACTGATGCGAGGAAGTCCAAATGCTCCGTTGGTGTGAAGTCGCAGCGTTTCCTCGATCACCGCATGGAGCCAGGGAAGCCCCTGCACCGCTTCGTTCTGAATCTCCTGGTATGTGGCAAAAGTATCCCGAATCTCGGTCTGCAGTTTCTGGAGAGTGTCCCGATGTTCGGAGAGGAAGAAAATTGCAGCAGTAAACAGGTTTGTGTCAGGATCAAATCCACCAACAATGAGATGGTTCGCTTGCGCGACGAGGAAGTCTTGCTCTGGGACGGGTTTGTTCTTCGGAAGTAGCAAAGAAAAATAGTCAGGGTGCTTCAGACTATCGCGATTGTTCACCCGGTCTCGCACGATTTGCTTGTTGGTCTTCAGCAAGGTCGGTAGAATGGCGGCCATGCGCGGCGGGAGTGCAAGAAAGACTAAGGGGTGAAGCAGAGGAAATCGTCGCATGACTTGGTTGAGAGTGCCCCAGAGCCCGATGCCTCGAAATGCCTGCAGAAAGAGATGCGCTTTGCCTGGATGCACTCAGAGATCGGTGTAGTGGGGGCTATTCGTGCGTGCTGGGGACTTACCATCTCGGACATTGTGGAAGTTATGGCCATAACCCATATCGCCGGCAATGTCACAAGCGAGCCAGTCAAACCACTGAGACGTGAGGTCAGTGCCGTAGTCTCGGAGCTTCCCTCACGGTGCTACTTACATCTCTCATGTCCACTCCCCGTTCGGCAGTGCCCAGCTCTCTCAGCCGCTGGATGAAGCGGTCAATATGCTCATGCAGGGCTGGCTCCTGCTCTTTCAATGCGCGGGGATTGAAAGCAGGTGCCAGCATCTTTCGGACAGCCCGGTGCTTCTCGACGTCCGGATCCGCTGCGATTCCGGCATGTTTGCCACCGATGTGCTGGAAGTCGGTTTTGATAAACGTGGGCCTGTTCTTGGTCCCACTCATAAGAATATCTACCGCTAATCATGAGACAGACGCCCTGCGTTCGTGTATCTTTGGGAACTGAGATGGACTGACCTACTTGCGCCTCGGGCTTCATGAACACCAGTTCATTGGGGGCGATTCGAACAACATCACCTTGTTTGCATTAGCCCGTGTCACTGCTGACTTTTGGATGGATCCTCAAACCATATTCCTCCAGGACTCTTTCAATGGCCCAAGGATACCGGCCAGAGAGCCTAGATTGATGTTCAGAGAAGCAGGCTTTGCTCGCAAGGTCATTGACATAGGGGAAGCTTACCAGTGATAGGCGTACCACAAGTTTGATACCGCAGCGAGTCTTGGCCCAGGGTAATTGGCTAGCGGGTGGAAGCAAAGAAGGTAGATGGTGCGACAAAGTGCATAGGAGGTGACCTGCGTAGGGTCAGCTTACAGCTTTTTTCTTAGACCAGGGCGCGTGATAGCTAGGCGTACGATTGTACCTCCGATCACCAAGTATGTCTTGAATGAGACCTGATCGAGGGTCGAGGAAAAGGACCACATTTTGGGTTTCGAATACTGATGATAATGGATTCCGTTTCCATTGAAGTGGCTGTGGTTTCTAACGATGCGATGTTCCGAATCGTACTGTGATAGTATTGCACCGGCAGCATGCAGGGGTCTCAGTAATCAGGCATTCGGAGAGTTCGAACTCAAGTCATCGAGCACAACGATATTATGCTCCGGATACCGAACAGGGATATTGTCATTTTCATGAAGATGGGGCTGACGAGGCTGACTATAGCGAAGATCAGTCGTCCGTGCCCCGCGTGCTCAGCGGAAGTGTCCGAATATAATGGTGGTGGCGGCCCCGACCTCGGAGCTGGTGTAGGAGCTCTGCCCCAGCTCGCCCGTAAGCCCTAATGCTCGTGTATTTCGGAGCTGCACATGTCAATCACGCGCAGCTTACATGACGTCTGGCACTAATAGCATTAGCTGCACTGGTTTTGACCAATCCCCGATCTTCCGCATGGACACCATCTGGTGGTCTCTGCGAGATCCCCTGCGCCGGCATAATGCAGTGCAACCCCACGAGCGATCCTTTAGGTGTACGAATCTATGAAGATAAGCACGCCAGGCGAGAACAGACCTCCATAACGTAAGAGGAGTGTCAGTACGAGCGAGCTCTCCGCATGGAGCCAGCCAATCTAATTCACGTACACACGCAGTACGATCCAATGGCATATTCAAGAACTAGCCGAGAGTTGAATGGCCAGTGAGGTGGGCAAAGGATCCCCGATGCATGTTTGTGGTAGCTCTGAGGTTCCGAGCTGAAGTGGACGAAGTCACCTATCCAGATCCCATTCTGTGGGCCTCAAGACCGAAGTTGATGGAGGTATATGAAGGGTGGATGTAGCTCCGTGATCAACGATGCTTCAAATCCAAGAATCAGATACCGAGGCCTTGTTACTACCCAATGATATATATAGATCAAGATGCTTGCAAAGACCCCTCCTCACAGGGCCAACGAGCCTATCGCCGTTATCGGAAGTGGTTGCCGGTTCCCCGGCACTGCGAACTCACCATCCAATCTCTGGGAACTCCTGCGCCAGCCACGAGACCTGCTTCGTGAGATCCCTACCGAAAGATTTAACGCCAAGGCATTTCATCATCCAGATGCTCAGTACCATGGCCACAGCAATGTTCTTCATTCCTACTTACTCGATGAGGACGTACGACGCTTTGATGCACAGTTTTTCAATATCAAGCCAGTCGAGGCGCAAGCCATGGACCCGCAGCAGCGCCTTCTGCTGGAAACGGTGTACGAAGGCCTCGAAGCTGCAGGGCTGACGATTGAAGGGCTTCGAGGCTCAAAAGCCAGTGTCTATGCTGGCCTGATGTGCAATGACTACGAAGCCATCCTGCTCCGAGACTTTCAACAGATTCCGAACTACCATGCCACAGGAGTGGCGCGCAGTATTGTATCCAACCGCATCTCGTACTTCTTCGACTGGCATGGACCCTCTCTAACAGTGGACACTGCATGCTCTTCGACTCTAATTGCGGTCCATCTTGCGGTCCAAGCCCTCCGCGCCGCAGAAACAAATGTCGCTTTCGTATGTGGATCGAACCTGATACTTGGGCCGGAAAACTATGTCGCAGAAAGTAAACTGAAGATGTTGTCTCCCGACGGCCGGTCCCGGATGTGGGATCAAAACGCGAATGGCTATGCACGAGGGGAGGGTGTGGCGGTCGTGGTGCTCAAGACCCTCAGCGCAGCTCTGGCAGACGGTGACCATATAGAATGTCTGATCCGGGAAACAGGCACTAATTCAAGATGGTCGTACGCAAGGCATCACCATGCCCAGCGCTACCGCCCAAGCATCGCTCATTCGAGATACATATGCTAGAGCAGGTCTGGATCCACGGCAAGAAGGGGATCGGTGCCAGTGTCAATTCGTTCGGCTTTGGCGGTTCCAATGCGCACGCAATCCTGGAGAGCTACCAGCAACCAGAGAGACTTACCGGGACGCCTCCTTCCAGTCAGGTGTTCAGCCCATTTGTGTTCTCGGCCCATTCAACGCAATCCCTGGTCGGAAACCTGCGCGAGTATTCACGCTTCTTGGAGACCAATTCGACCATCAGCGCGCAGGATCTGGCATGGACACTGCGCGCCCGGAGGTCCAGTTTCCCGGCCAAAGTCTCATTTCCAGCTGGCTCGATCCAATCACTCAAGGCAAATATTGACGGGTGGTTGAGGACCGAGGCCCAGTCCTCGGGAGGTACTATCGGGGATCGTATGAGGGTTCCTTCGAGCACCGATCGGCCGCGACTCTTGGGTATATTCACAGGCCAAGGAGCCCAGTATGCACGAATGGGGGCAGAGCTAATTGAGCAGTCGCCCTACGCGGCTGCAATTCTGGACAAACTTGAAGGTCGACTTTCACAGCTACCGATAAGCGACAGGCCGTCATGGTCCCTGCGCCAAGAGTTGCTAGCCAAGGCAGCCAGCAGTCGAGTCCATGAAGCATGGATTTCCCAGCCTCTCTGTACAGCTGTCCAAATTCTGTTGGTGGATCTCCTGCGTCTCGCCGGCGTGCAGTTCTCGACCGTGGTAGGGCACTCATCCGGAGAGATTGGTGCTGCGTACGCGGCCGGTTATCTTTCAGCCTACGATGCCGTCTGCATCGCTTACTACCGTGGCCTGCACAGCAAATTGGCGCAGGGCCCTAAAGGGATTGAAGGAGCCATGCTTGCAGTCGGTACCTCGTTAGAAGACGCACAAGTTTTGCTCAGCATGGAAGAATTTTCCGAAAGAGTGACCGTAGCTGCCTGCAATTCCTCTTCCAGCGTCACACTCTCTGGGGATAAAGATGCGATTGAGGAACTGGAAGCTATCCTTGAAGATGAAGGAAAGTTTCGCAGACGCCTCAAGGTAGACAAGGCGTATCATTCTCACCATATGCAAATGTGCTCAGACGCGTACCTGCAATCACTGCGAGACTGTAACATTCGACCGCAGCAACCGTCAGCCGACTGCGTGTGGCTTTCAAGCGTTTATGATGATCCTGCTGTCGACTTTTCATCGACGCTGCGTGGTCCTTACTGGGATGAGAATATGGTTAGTCCTGTACTGTTTTCCCAGGCAGTCAAGCGAGCGTTCGCATCCGGACCCTACGACGCGGTGATAGAGGTTGGCCCTCATCCGGCGCTTAAGGGACCAGCTACCCAAACCGCCCAAGAGGTGGGCTGCGAGGAGGTGCTATACACCGGGCTACTCACTCGCGGGAAGGAATCCATAGGTGGGTTATCTAACGCCCTTGGACTACTGTGGGTGCATCTCGGAGCCTCCGCCATCGATATAGATCGGTTTGAGCGGGAGTCCAGTGGCTGGCGAGACTACCAAATGGTCCCTAACCTTCCTTCATACCAGTGGCAGCACGATCGTGCATACTGGCACGAATCGCGAATTTCGCGGCAGATGCGCCAGAGACAGCATCGGGTGCATACATTACTCGGGGATCTCTGCCCCGACAGCGCTCGGCATGGCATGATGTGGAGGAATCTGCTGCGACCGACAGAAATTGGCTGGATTAGGGCCCATCAGCTCCAGAGTCAAACGGTCTTCCCCGCTGCAGGGTATGTGGCCACTGCCCTCGAGGCAGTTCGATATCTTGTATCCGAGCAGGATATCCGACTCACCACAATACTCGACTTCATCATTCACCAAGCAATGGTGTTTGACGACGAGGACGCGGGGATTGAAGTGCTCACCTGCCTGGACGATGTGCGCAGTGAAGAAGAGCCAAAGCGGGTCAGGGCTCGATTCATCTACTCTGCAGCTGTAGGAAAGGAGCGCGACAGGTTGACTCTGATGGCCAGTGGTGAGGTCGAGATCCTTTTGGGCGAACCCTCACCCGATATTCTTCCCTCTCGAGGACCATCAGAGCCCAACATGATTGAGGTGGAGACCGATCGATTCTACCATGCCCTGGAGGACCTCGGATATGGCTATCAGGGACCATTCCGAGCCCTATCAGCATTGAAGCGGAAATTGGGGCGAGCCACGGGCCTTGTGGCAAGGATGCCCACAGATCCAACCGAGGCAGGGTTCATGGTACACCCGGCCATGTTGGATGCAGCCATCCAGTCGGTCATTTTGGCCTATAGTTACCCTAATGACGGCCAGCTCTGGTCCTTGCATGTCCCTACTCGGATTCGATCGGTTTGCGTCAATCCGGCGCTCTGTGGTCGGCACTGAGCCCAGGTCGATGATCTGCCTTTTGAATCCTCGCTGGTTGATCATGAAGGCCCAGGCATTACCGGCGATGTCGAAATCTTTAGCGCAGACAATGCTCGGGTCGCAGTACAGATATAAGGGATGCAGGCTGTCCCCTTTGCCAGCGCCACGGAGGCGGATGATAGGAACATTTTCTCCGTCATGCGGTGGAGCAGTGCTGAGGCGGCTGCAGACCAGATTGTCGCCGGATCACGCGCAACTGAGGAGGACTATGAGCTGGCGCATGTGCTCGAGCGCGTTTCATCGTTCTATCTTCGTCGGCTGGACGAGGACTTTGGCCCCGACCATCCGGGACGAAGGGAACTGCCATACAGTGCATACTTCAACTACGCCGCTCATGTGAACCAGTTGGTCTCAAGTGGCCAGCACCCATATGCAAAGGCCCAGTGGGTTGATGATAGCTTGGAGGATATCATGGGCGCCAGTAAACAGTACAATCCACCGTGCTCCCTGACCCGAGTGATCACTGGCTAACAGCAGGAACAGGTTTGCCGATTGTCCTGATATCCGGATCATGCACACGATCGGCCAGCAGATGCCGCAAGTGATCCAGGGGCAGACCACGATTCTGGAACATTTGGTGCCCACGGGCCTGCTGGACGAGTACTATGTCAGAGCACTTGGGTTTCCTCAATTCTCGCTCTGGCTGGCTCGACCGGTCAATCAGATTGTCCAACGGTATCCTGCAATGGACATTCTCGAGATAGGTTAGTCAATTAATAGGCCCCCAATGATCGTGTGTCATGTTATGCTAAACCATATATCCTAGGAGCCGGCACCGGGGGTGCAACGAAGAGCATCTTCCGGCATGTACAGGGCGATTTTGCGTCCTACACCTTCACCGATATTTCCAACGGGTTCTTCGACCGGGCCCGAACCGTGTTCGCGGACCATGCGGATCGCATGGAGTTCAAAGCACTGGATATTGAGAGGCCTGTGAAGGAGCAGGGCTTTTTTCACCACTCATATGACCTCATCGTTGCTTCCTTTGTGATCCATGCGACTCGCAAGCTTGAGGACACGATGCGCCATGTTCGGAGCCTGCTCAAGCCCGGAGGATTTGTGGTGATGGCCGAGGTGACCAACAACGACCAGATTCGGGGTGGATTCATATTCGGGGCCCTGCCTGGGTGGTGGGTGGGCATCGATGAAGGTCGTGTGCTCACTCCATGTGTATCGCCTGCCAAATGGGACCGAATTCTGCGGAAGACAGGCTTCTCTGGCATCGATATGATTACGCCCGATGATGACAGGTTTCCATACCCCGGATCCGTGTTCATCTCACAAGCGATAGATGACCGGGTCCAGTATCTTCGCCATCCCTTGTCCCCACCAAGAACAGTCTTCAACAACGGCGGGCGTGTCCTGCACGACCTCCATATCATCGGAGGGGTGACCCTTCGCGTCAGTCAGCTTGCAGGTCATCTGCAAACTCTGCTTTGCCCGTTCTGTGACACGATCGTGACCTGGGAAGATCTGGAACACATCGACTACCATAAAATCACGACCCAGTCCACAGTTCTAGTGCTGACGGAGCTTGACCAGCCCGTGTTCCAAGACCTGACCGCAGAGCGCTTTCAAAGCTTGAAGCAGATGTTCGGGTCTGAGAAGACCATAGTATGGGTAACGCAAGGGCGCCAAGCGGACAATCCTTTTGCCAATATGACCGTCGGCTTTGGTCGGTCTCTCCTATGGGAAGTTCCTGATCTTCGATTACAGTTCATCGATCTCGAGGACCTCCGGGCTGTTCAACCGAGAATGCTAGCAGAGGCCACTCTTCGGTTTCGAGCGACTGCGCTGTGGAGCAAAGAATGCAACAGGCAGCTGATGTGGTCCACGGAGCCAGAAATTGTCATCGATGCTGGGGGTCGCCAATTGATTCCTCGTCTGCATCTCTTGAAGGATGCCAATGATCGTTACAACGCCGGCCGACGCTCCATCCTCCGGAAATACTCCGATAGCATTGCTGTTGCAATAGCCCAGGGAAGTGATGGTTCCCATCATCTCAGAAAAGATCAACGAGTGTACTCAGCTACATCTGATGCTGTTCAGGACTCAATCCATTTAAGACTCAAATACTCCACGCTACACCGCATGCAGACGCCGGTTGGCTACCAATCGGTCATTTTGGGCGTCGATGCCAGCCGCGATAAAGATGCACAACAATATATAGCTCTAGTAGAGCATCCCAGCTCCACCTTGGACGTTGTGACTCAGTCAGCGTTCATTTGCGCGCTGGAGCCCGGAACAGCGATACCGACATTAATTGCCATGGTTGCCGTGAATCTGTTCTTCGCGTCCATCGTTCAACAGATCCTCCCTGGGCAAAACGTGACAATCCACAATGCAAGTCCACTACAAGCCCACATTCTCTCGCGACGGGCCAAGGAGGTTGGCGCACAGGTTGTTTATACCACCTCTTTCCAAGAGGACCCGATCCACACTTCCTTCCCCGCCGTCCAAATTCAGCCACACATGCCACGACGCAGCATCAAGTCATTGCTTCCTAATAATATCGCATGCTTTATTGACCTGTCCTCTGAGGCTACCCCGGCCGGGGGAGACTTTATTCTCGACTGTCTCCCATCCAGCTGTCGTCGACTCAGTTTCCTCTCAGACCAGCGACGAGGATCAGGAGGCCCTCCGCTGGTGTACGCTAGCCACAGCATCCAGGACGTTCTGGGGGCGGCCATTAGTTCTGCTCACAGGGATATGCAAGAGATCAAAGCCCGTGCAGATGTCCCTGTGGTCAGCCTCGCTAACATCGGAAGGGGGGACGAATGCCCTCCCGCCAGCATGCCCGTGGTCGACTGGACTGATTCTGCTTCTCTCCTGTTACAGGTGTTTCCGGTAGACTCCAGCGATCTGTTCCGGAGTGACAGGACCTATTGGCTTGTGGGACTGACTGGTAGCCTCGGACTGTCACTCTGTGACTGGATGATTGGCCACGGAGCTAGATATATTGTCCTGACTAGTCGACGGCCCGATATCGATTCGAGATGGTTGGAGATCACACGGAGCCGAGGCGCTCTCGTGAGGGTTTTTGCCAGGTGATTCTAATCTGTTGATTCCATGCAAGCTCAGCCAGGGAACAAGACTGATCAGCACGGGAATCAAACAGTGACATGACAGTCGAAGAAAATGTCAGATCGGTATATGAGGAGATCTGCGCCACGCTGCCGCCCATTGCCGGCGTGGCACAGGGGGCCATGGTGTTACGAGATGGCCCCACCAGGGACATGAGTTACGAAGACATGATGCAGGCTCTGCGGCCCAAGGTGCAGAGTAGCATCCACCTAGACCGTCTATTCTCGAACTATCCACTCGACTTCTTTATCTTCTTCTCCTCTATGACCGCGGTGATTGGGAATATGGGCCAGGCTAACTATACCGCGGCCAACGCATTCATGTGCGCCCTGGCAGCACAGCGACGCAAACGTGGCCTGTATGCATCGGTCGTGAACATCGGGGTCATCATTGGGGCCGGCTATGTCACCCGTGAAGTCAGCCAGGCTGATCAGAAGAACCTCCGTAAGGGAGGGTACATGTGGATGTCAGAGACAGACTTCCATCAGATGTTTGCCGAGGCCATCGAGGCCGGTAGGTCCACCACGCTCTCAGAGCCAGAAATCTCCACGGGTCTCCGTCAAGTCCCAGCAGATGCGCCCTATTTACCGATCTGGTCTGAGAATCCGAAGTTCTCCAGATTCATTCTCCGGGCATCAGGAGAAGACTCCCAACGAGACGCAGCAAAGGCCGGGGGGATCTCCATCAAAGATCGACTCCAGCTTGCCTGCACTCTTGAAGATGCTCGGAATATTATAGCAGGTAGGGGACCGGAGATGCAAGCCTGTTCGTCCTGGGGCTGACCATGCGACCATAGATACCTTCGCGGCCAAATTGCGGTTGACCCTGCAGATTGAAGACGACACAGGAGACCTGATGAGTCGTCGGACGGACGAGCTGGGGCTGGATTCCTTGATAGCCGTCGATATCCGTTCATGGTTCCTCAAGTCGTATCAGGTCAATGTCCCGGTTTTGAAGATCCTGGGCGGAGCGTCCATCGCGGAGCTGGTGGAGCAAGCATTGCTTGACCTGCCAGCCGAATTGATCCCGAATCTCGGACAGCAGACAGAGAGTAATACGCGGGAGGGCCAGAAAGAGGAGCTGCCTTCGAGTCCGGTCCCTGGGGAGATCCCTGGCGAGGATTCACCGGCTCCAGTATCATATTCAGATTCTGTCGATCACCTTTCCCAAGCAGAATCCAGTTCGCCAGAAGAGGGTCACCTTACACCCATTTCATCCGTCATTGACGAGTTGGCCAAATCCACCGCGGATCCGAGACCGATAGCAGCGATCCAACGATCAGGTCGGTTATCCTCCACCCAGTCTATGTTCTGGTTTGTGCATGCGTTGATGGAGGATAAGACGACACTGAATCACACGGCGATGTTCCGATTGAGTGGGCCTCTGGATGTCGACCGACTGCGCGAGGCTGTCACGGCCGTGGGTCAACGCCATGAGGCACTACGAACATGTTTGGTGATAGATGCCAGACAGCACATCACCCAGGCAGTCCTGGAGACGTCTGTCTTGCGGTTGGAGCTCAGACAGATCTACGCGGATGACGAAGTCATGGCCGAGTACGAGGCGCTGAAGCAGCACGTGTACGACCTCACGTCCGGAGAGACCATGCGTATTGTGCTGCTGTCGGGCTCGCCGGGGCACTATCACCTCTTGATCGGATGCCATCATATCAACGTTGACGGCATAAGTTATCAGGTACTCATGGCCGACTTGGAATGCGCGTACAAGGGGGAACCTCGGGACACGCCAGTGCTTCAGTATCTTGACTATGCTGACCGGCAACGCGAAGAGCACGAGCAAGGTGCATGGGATCAGGAAATTGCTTTCTGGGAGCGTGAGCTGGGACCGATCCCCAGCCCGTTACCCCCCGGCCGTCATCTTCTTGCCCATCGGCAGCCACTGCACGACTATGGAGTCCATTCCGTGAAATTGAGGATCGGCACTGCTCTTGCGAACCGGATTCGTGAAGTGGTGCGAACGTGCAAGGCGACCGCGTTCCACTTTTACCTGGCGGCTTTCCGGATTCTGCTGCATCGCTACCTGAATGCTCAAGATGTATGCATTGGGATTGCTGACGGGAATCGGAGTGGCACTGGGATGTTGGATAGCATCGGCCCATATGTGAATCTGCTTCCCTTGCGGTTTGTGGCGCGGGATGGGCAATCCTTCCAGGATGCCCTAGTCGAGGTCAAGAGTAGAGCCTATGCCGCTCTTGCCCACTCCCAGCTGCCTTTCGAAGTCCTACTGAACGAGTTGCGAGTGGCACGCTCACCCACACATAGTCCGCTCTTTCAGGCCTTCGTGGACTACCGGCAAGGGACTCGGGAGAGACAGCTGTTCGGGGACCTGCAACTGGAGATGCTTCATTTTGAGCCCGGACGAACTTCCTATGATATCAGTCTCGATATCATTGACAATCCGGGACAAGACGCGTTGGTCGTCGTCATGGCTCAACGGAATTTGTACTCGCTAGGCGACGCAGAGGTGATGGCTCAAATCTACGAAGATATACTGCAGGAATACTCGTCCATTCCGAGTCTGGCAGCCGACAAGAACTGGAGCTTTCGACAGGAGACATTACAGAAAGCGCTGGACGTTGGCAGAGGCGAGTAAGATCCCGAAGAGACTTATCCAATACCGTATTCCCACTAACTCGCAGCATGAAGGCCCGGTGTTTCAACCACAGTGGTCCAGGACACTCATTCACCAATTCGAAACGCAGAGACATTTGCACAAAACAGCCCTTCACATCGCCAACGCTTCGTCTTGGTCATATGAGGAGTTAGGGCAACGCGTGGACCGCATCGCGCGGGAGCTGATCAGCTGCGGGGCACAACCAGGTGACAACGTTGCGGTATTGCAGGACCGCACTGCAGATTCCATTGCGTCCATGCTCGCCACGATGAAAATCGGCGCGGTGTATGTTCCATTAGACCCTAACGTTTCCTTAGCCCGACTGGCCAAGATTGTCCGTGATTGCGACCCGGTGGCTTTGCTGGCCGATAGCAAAACCGTGGCTGAAGGGGGAAGCCTCGCACAACCATCAGCAGCAGTGATAATCAATGTGTCAGAGTTAGCTGCCTATTCTAGCGGGAGTTCCTTAACGAACAACGCGGAGCCGGACGCTACAGCGCTGATTTTATATACCAGTGGCACCACAGGCACCCCCAAGGGCGTCGCTCTACAGCACTCCAGTTTCTGCCACGAAGTGGAGGTCTCAGTGTCCACCTACAGCCTGACTCAAGACGATCATATCTTGCAGCAAAGCGCCGTCAGTTTCGACATGTCTGTTCTACAGGTATTTCTAGCACTGGCGCAGGGTGTCACATTATGCATGACTTCGGCGGCAATGCGGGCGGATCCATCTGCTATCAGTGCCTTCATTGCAGAGGCCGGGGTGACATTCACCTGTGCTACCCCGTCCGAGTACCAAAGTTGGCTACAATCTGGTCACCGGCGTGAGAGCCTGCGACTGTCTGCCTGGCGCACAGCTCTCACGGGAGGAGAGCCAGCCACCACGGCCTTACTTCATAGCTTCCGCGACCTGGGAAGACCTAGGCTTCGTTTGTATAACGGGTATGGACCAACAGGGACAACGTGTTGCTCCACCAAAATGGAGCTGTCGTACCAAAATGCGTCTCTATATGCCGAGTGTGTTCCAGCAGGGCGCCCCTCTGTGAATGAAGCGATCTACATCGTCGACCAAGCAATGCGGCTACAACCTGTCGGGCAGCCCGGAGAGATTCTCATCGGGGGAGTGGGCGTCGCGTCAGGATATGTCAACAATGAGGAGTTGACCACAAGAGGCTTCGTAGCGGACGTCTTCGCAAGTCCCAAAGACCGACAGCAAGGCTGGACAACAATGTATCGGACCAAGGATTACGGACATCTCCGCCCGGACGGCTCACTCATCATCGAAGGTCGCGTAGACGCAGACACGGAGATCAAGCTCCATGGAGTGAGAACTGACCTGATGGATATTGAGAGGTCGATATTGCAGGCTGCTGAGGGGACTCTTTGCAATGTTGCTATCTCGGTTCGCTCGGCCGCGGAGAAGACGTTTCTGGTTGCGCATTGTGCCTTCTCACCCACAGGATATCAATCAACAGCAGAGCAAGAACAGTTCCTGCAAGCTCTACTGCCTCAGTTGCCGCTCCCGCAAGGCATGTGTCCTTCCGCAATGGTCGCAATAGACCAGATGCCGTTGACCAGCGCAGGGAAGCTTGACCGCCGTGCGCTGTCTCACCTCTCCCTTCCAGCATCAGCCGAGTCCAGGCATGAAGCTACGGCTATCAGCACGCTGTCCGACGCGGAGACAGAAATGAAAGGTCTCTGGGAAGAGGTGATTCCTGAGGAGCTCTGGAGCCATCATCGGGTCGACAGCCAAACGGACTTCTTCCATGTTGGCGGGAGCTCGATGCTCCTGGTCGATTTGCAGGCTCGAATCAGCAATCGCATTGGTACCTCGATCCCTCTTATCCGGCTTTTCGAATCCAGCACGCTGAAAGGCATGGCATTGCTCATCGCCAGGACGGCACCGGGAGATACGACCGTCGGCGTCCTCGACTGGAAGACGGAGACCAGTCTCACTCCCGACCTTGCACGCATCGTTGGGCCTCTCTTGCCCTCGACACCCCTGCCGCGATGTCCACCGAGGGTGATTGCTCTGACCGGAGCATCTGGGTTTTTGGGACAACACTTGCTGCGACACCTCCTTGCCCAGCAGCAGCCCGTCGTTGACCAGGTAATTTGTATTGCAGTACGTCAATTAGCCGATCGAGCTCATCTCTTTGCCGGATTGGACCGGCAGCGGGTCGTGTGCTACGAAGGAGACTTAGCGGCGCCTCGACTGGGGCTGAAGGAAGACGACGCCCAGCGGATCTTTGGCACGGCGGACGCGGTGATTCATAATGGAGCGGATGTATTCCATCTCAAGAACTACCATACTCTCAAGGGTGCAAACGTGCAATCGACTCAGGAGCTCGTTCGGCTGTGTCTTCCCCGGGGTATTCCCCTCCACTACATTTCCACCGCCGGCGTGGCCATGTTCACCACGCGCGAGGTTTTCGCCGAAGTCTCCGCTGGCGATGCGCAACCTCCTTCTGACGGTTCTGACGGCTACACGGCTACCAAATGGGTGAGCGAGCTGTACCTCGAGCAGGCCAGTCAGACGTTTCAGCTGCCGGTCTGGATTCATAGGCCATCCAGTGTCGTCCGTCAAGAGCGCGCGGGGGCAGCAGAAGCCATTGACCAAAACCAAGACAACCTGGACGCAAGACCCATGTTCGATCTGCTCCAAAGCCTCCTCCGTTATTCCTGGCACCTAAGGGCCGTGCCCGTCTCCACCAACCTGAAAGGCTCCTTGGACCTGGTCTCGGTGCAGAATGTGGCGCGCGGAGTGGTGAAAGCGGTGGTAGCCCAATCGATCGACCAGCGTAGAGTGGCGTACAGTCATCTGACCGGGGATTTCGATCTACCGATTGATGGATTGAAGGAGTATCTTGAGGGGGAAACGGGAGAGGCGTTTGCGATGCTACCGATTCGCGAGTGGGCGCGTCGAGCGGAGGGGGCGGGACTTCATCGCACCGTGGCCACGGTCTTCAGCCAGGTGGATGAACTGGCAATGCCGCTGCAGTTCCCACGATTTGCGCACAAAAACGGGTGGAAATGGATGCATGGAGGTGAATTAAGGTGGTGAGAAGGTGGTGAGAAGGTGATGGTGTTTGGTTTGCGGTGTTTGTCTCTTGGATCACATGTAGTCACGTGGGCTGCAGTCATGAGCTAGCTGCATATAGTTAGTGACCTTAATGTCCACAATACCTGACTAAGCTTTTACCTCTGTGCATAACCTCCTTACAGTATTATTCCCACCTACTCCATACAACAATGAATGGAGGGATCGACTCATCCGCTATGAAATCACGCAACTGAGTCAACAGTCTTTGCCCCGCACGCTTATATTAATTCTGCAGGCACTTCATCTGCAGGAGTCGGCGGATGCCACCCTGAACTCCGCCCCTAAAATATTGGCTTTATTGGCTTCAGTGCCCCTCGGTTGGCACGCCATCGCCAAGGGGCTGCAACGATGCTGCAATGCTTCTCTGCATCTCCCATCTCTATGTCCTCGAAGTCGGCTCGAGTAACAGTTGCAAATTCGCGTATAGTCTCCTGGTTGATCAGAAGACATGGCGAGGATGCCGTTGACATGCACAAGCATTAATCTCGGGAAGTCGGGGTCAACCTCGCGTCAATGGCGCAATGGATGTGGTGATGATGTTGAAGGAGATGAAGTGCGCCAACCTCTGCGCTAAGGCGACTGCCAAGACCCTGCATGGACAGTCTTCACAGTCTCCAACTTGCAGAACTCTTCAGGACATTGCGCTGGTCCACCGGAGTCCGATGCATGTCGACATCTGCTACCGCATCTTTGCGATCGCGAACAATCTCAACTGGTGATTCTGGTCTGCTCAAGGCTCATCGTGCGATGACCAGGATACAATGAGGTGAAATGATGCGATGAGGATATTTTCGAGGATGAGCATGAGCATGAGGATGAGGACGGAGGATGGAGGGGGAGGGCTCGTTCTGGGAAGCATAAATACTTGGTGAATTGCCCGTCCAGATGCTTTTCCTCCATCATCATCATCATCAGCCAGCTCTGTTCTCTGCTCCATCGCGGATATCTCTAGCTTCAATACTCCAACTTCCTCAGCTGCTCACTTCGAGTTCCTCGCCAATTCATCATCAAAATGAAGTTCACCGCCGCTATTGCTGCTAGCATCCTCGCTGGTACCGTCGCCGCCATCCCCAACCGCGGCCTCGAAGCTCGTGTCAAGGCTCGCGCTTCTGGCACTCGGGGCTCCCGCCCTCTCGAGGCTGTCAACCGCCCCGCGACGGTCAAGAACCAGACCAACGTGGAGTACAGCTCCAACTGGTCCGGTGCCGTGCTGGAGAGCCCCCCCTCGGCTGCTGCGACCTACACGGCTGTGACTGGTACCTTCACTGTCCCCGAGCCTACCGGCACCGGCAGCGGCGCCGCCTCCGCCTGGGTTGGCATTGACGGTGACACCTACGGTAACGCCATCCTTCAGACCGGTGTCGACTTCACCCTCACCAATGGCCGCGCCTCCTACGATGCCTGGTACGAGTGGTACCCCGACTACGCCTACGACTTCAGCGGCAGCATCGACATTTCTGCCGGTGATGTTATCGTCGCCATCGTCGAGTCGTCCTCTTCCACCAGCGGTACTGCTATCATCGAGAACAAGAGCACTGGCCAGACTGTGACCAAGAAACTGTCTGCTCCTTACTCCAGTGCCAAGCTCGGTGGTCAGAATGCTGAGTGGATCGTTGAAGGTGAGTCTGGGTCTGAGTGGTGATTTGAATAGCATGATTGTTTGCCGTACTAACCCTATGTATAGACTTCGAGGAGAATGGCTCCCTGGTTAACCTGGTCGACTTCGGCACTGTGACCTTCACCGGCGCCGTCGCCGAGGCCGCTGGCGGCGAGAGCGTCGGCCTTGACGACGCCACCGTCATCGAGATCGAGCAGTCCGGCAAGGTTGTGACTGATGTCACTATCAACAGCGACTCATCGGTCACTATCTCCTACGTCTAAGTCATCCTGGTGACTTATCGTGGCGGAGCACATAGCAGCAGGTGACTCTGCATGTGCGAGCGCGGTTTGCGGAGGACATGGGCAGCGGGTTCTGCAGTGCTGGAGACGGTGAAGCGGGTTTTAAGAAAGGCAATCGGTGACTCGTTAGATATAGTCGTGGCGGCTTCCGTCCGCACGTGTATTTTTGCAGGTCAATATGAGACACGATAGCTTCCTGGATTGTTGTGCATGTGAATTTCTTTTGTAGTAGTGCTGATGCTTCCAGTACCGGCATCAGGAATTGCATAACTGTATGGTAGATTCTGATGGAAGAGACCATGCTGCAAGATGTATAAGACCATCTTGCGTACACGAGATGATACTGCGGTCCTCTCTGGCCAGGCTGTCAGAGCTCAGCGAGATAACTCCGAAGTTGGTAGGAACTCAATAATCGCTGAATCCAGGTTCGGCTCAAGTGATCAAATTGACAAAGACTTTCTGTAGGGGTGTATACAATCCTACACCTCATGACCTCTATAGTTTAGCACCTTGATCACCGGGCGAGGGTTTCCCCAAATTGTAAAGAAGCTCGCTAAAGAGGATACCCTTTTTTATTTTTGGCTTGGCTTGGCTTGGCTGAATATATATCTTTGTCCGTCTCAGATCCTGTCAGCAGGCACACAGTTCGAGTGCAGGGTCTACCTCCAAGTTAATCCGAGCAGGAATCATGCAAATAACATTGTATGTAAGACAGCTCTAATGGTATCATCGGACTTGCCCAGGGACCTTGTTGCTATAATTGGTGGTGGCCGAGGCCCCTGCAGCGGGAGTAGCCGTGGCCACAAAGACTTCGTGATGTCTGGTTGACATTATGGTACAGGGAGCGGTTGGAGTGATTCTTTACTACTCATTACCAACAGCAGCTATGTATATTGTCCCAAGTGTTGCGGTCCCCTCAACAGCCACGATCGTCATACCCGACTGAGTTATGCTATGCTTCCTGCACATGGGGTAATATCGAGGTCATTGGATAGGAATGTGTCCGTGCGTCAGGTACCGCCTCCTCCAACCAGGAAATCCCCGTCTCATCTATTCTTGGTGGCTATGGAGCATGACGTGGGTGTTAACTACTCGTACACCCACTGTAGCAGCTCTGCCTTGACAGAACGCATGAAGGAATGATTACGTCGTGGGCACCGGGTCGCTGGGCCGGAGCCAGATCGGGTCTTGGCAAGATTGAGATGGGCCCAATGCGGTTTAGCGGCCCGCAAACTCTGGGCGTGCGTCATCTTGACGGGGTCGTGACGGTTGCGGAATCGCTGCATTTATAGTCCTGGTAACCTCCCCCGGTTGCGGTGTTCTCTCAGACTATTAGAATCACGAACTATCAAACTATCCCCTCAATCTTTCTCTCTACAGCACTCTCTACAGCACTCTCTACAGCACAACATACTCTTTTACCGACCCCCTCACACCCACACATCATGATGAACCGAACCCCCAGAGTCGCGACCCGCTGCCTCAGACAGCAACGCACCAACCCCCTCAAGAACCGCTACGCCAACGCCCGGTTCCAGTCCTCGTCCGCAGAATCTAGCTCCAACGGTAGCAATAGCAGCAGCCCCGCCCTGGTTGGCGGTCTGGCTGGTGGTGCGGTCACTCTCGTCGCTGGATACGCCTGGTACCACTTCTCCGGCGCCCGTACGGTGGTCAGGACGGTCAAGCAGACCCAGAACTACGCCGACCAGGTCAAGCAGGGGATCGTGGAGCATGTACCCGAGCCCGACCGCGCCTTTGACTGGCTCCGCGACACTGTGAAGAGCTACGCCGGCTTCATCCCGGGCGCGCGCAAGTACATCGATACCGCCTTCGACGACCTCGAGAAGATTAAGCAGAAGCACGGCGGCGAGTTTGACTCAATTGTGCGCGATGCCTACTCGGAGATCAAGGCCGTAACCAAGAAGGGCGGCTCCAATGCGGATACCGCCTTCGAGGCCCTGCGCGTACTGCAGAAACACCTCGGTCGCTTGGCCGAGCTGTCCGGGGATGCGGCGGAGGATATCCTCGACAACCACCCCTGGCTGCAGGAGAAGGTCGGCGGCAGCTGGGACCAGCTGAAGCAGATGGGCGATGCGTACGGCCCGCAGGCCAAGGAGGAGGTCAACAAGACCTGGGAGCAGGTCTCCAGCATTGCCAAGGAGGGATTCAGCGTGCAGTCGGCGGAGAAGGTGCGCCAGTTGATCCAGGAGAAGAAGGAGAAGCTGCAGAAGATCGGCGACGAGGCGTGGCAGAAGGGCCTGGAGGAGAGCAAGCAGTACCTGGACAAGAACCCCCAGCTGAAGGAGCTGGTGGAGAACAACGCCGATGCGCTGAAGCAGGGCAACTTCGGCGAGCTGTGGGGTCTGGTCAAGGACTCGGCGTCGTCGGGTAAGACGGAGCAGGTGGAGAAGTTCGTCAAGGAGAAGGTCGATCAGGCCAAGAACAACAGCTCCTTTGACTTGGACAAGTGGACCAAGATGGTCCCGGGCGGATCGGACATCCTGAACCAGCTGCAGTCGCTGCGCACGGTGGGGGAGAAGAAGGGAAAGGAGGCGGAGGGGGTGCTTAAGGAGACGGTCGAGGAGCTGCAGCAGGTGCTGAAGAAGCGAAAGGACCAGATCGAAAAGCTGGCGAGTGAGGCCAAGGAGGAGAGCAAGTAGAGAGGCTATTTTCGAGGGAGCTGGAGCATCACTCGGTGTATTTTAGAACTATGTGTATCATATACCCCATACCACATCTTTATTCATGAACCTGCCTAGAGTGCTCTGATCAGTAATCACTCGGAATATCAGATCTGATCTGATACCATACCTTATACTGTATAGATCCTCACTAAGCGGATGACTAACCACTGATTAGTCAAAGGAGGGGGTTCTGGACCGGGTGTCTTACGAAGCCAGTGGCCAGTCAGCCAGTCAGCCAGTCAGCCAGTCAACCAGTTAGGGCTGGCCATTAGACCCCCCCAGGTAGGGGATTTCCATGGATTGCGGGGTCAAATCAAGTCAGCAGGCGTAGAGTGATGATGTCGACACCCAGTGGTGGAATGAGGATTATTCACCACATTCGAATTGGTGATGATCCCCCGCTTCAAAGGTTTCAAGGGTGGCTTCATCCCCACCACGTGTCTGGCCCTCGGTGGTCAGTCAGCAAATGAAGGGCGAGGCAGTTGTCCATTACTCATGCCGTCTTGGCCAGCCTGGCTGTCCTACCGGACTGCATTCACTGTCGAGAGTATAAGTATAGAGTGCGGGGTCGGGTTTCTTCCCCTCTTTTCTGATTCCCATCCATCCATTCTCTCCTCTTTATCTTCATCTTCAGTATCATCACCATCATCACTACTGCATTACTGCATTTTGGCATCCTCCTTCGCAGATCTCTTGACTGAGAAATCCCAATACTACCATCATCATCATGGGCGAGTCTAAGTGTCCCTATAAGGCACAGGCCAATGTGGCCGGCGGGGGCACGCGTAACACCGACTGGTGGCCCGAGCAGCTGAAGCTCAACATCCTCCGCCAGCACACCTCCACCACCAACCCATTGAAGGCCGACTTTGACTATGCCGCTGCCTTCCAAAGCCTGGACTACTTTGCCCTCAAGAAAGACCTCCATGCCCTGATGACCGACTCCCAGGACTGGTGGCCCGCCGACTTCGGCCACTACGGGGGTCTCTTTATCCGCATGGCCTGGCACAGTGCTGGCACTTATCGGGTCTTCGACGGCCGTGGCGGGGGAGGTCAGGGGCAACAGCGGTTTGCCCCCCTCAACAGCTGGCCGGACAACGTAAGTCTGGACAAGGCTCGTCGGCTCCTGTGGCCCATCAAGCAGAAGTACGGCGACAAGATCTCCTGGGCCGACTTGCTGCTGCTGACGGGCAATGTTGCCCTCGAGTCCATGGGTTTTAAGACCTTTGGCTTCTCCGGTGGGCGCCCGGACACCTTCGAGGCAGACGAGTCGGTCTACTGGGGTGGCGAGACAACCTGGCTGGGCAACGATGTCCGATACTCCGATGGCAAGCCCGGTGTGGCGGCCGAGGGGGTGGTCGACAGCGATCAGTCCCCCCATCGCGATATTCACAAGCGAGACCTGGAGAAGCCCTTGGCGTCGGCGCACATGGGTCTCATTTATGTCAACCCCGAAGGTCCGGATGGCAATCCTGACCCCGTCGCTGCGGCTCGGGACATCCGCGTCACCTTCAGTCGCATGGGGATGAACGACGACGAGACGGTCGCCCTCATCGCTGGCGGCCACAGCTTCGGCAAGACCCACGGGGCTGCCCCGTCTAGCAATGTGGAGGCAGAGCCTGAAGGCGCGGGCCTCGAGTCGCAGGGTCTTGGTTGGAAGAACAATCACCAGTCTGGCAAAGGCCCCGACACCATCACCAGTGGCCTGGAGGTGATCTGGACCAAGACTCCCACCAAGTGGAGCAACAACTACCTGGAGTATCTGTTCCGCTATGACTGGGAGCTCACTAAGAGTCCCGCGGGGGCTCACCAGTACGTGGCCAAGGACTCCGAGGCCATCATCCCGGACGCCTACGACTCCTCCAAGCGCCACCGGCCGACGATGCTCACCACCGATCTCTCCCTCCGCTATGACCCCACCTACGAGAAGATCTCGCGTCGTTTCCTCGAGAACCCGGATCAGCTTGCCGATGCCTTCTCCCGTGCCTGGTTCAAGCTCCTTCACCGTGACATGGGCCCCCGCACTCGGTACATTGGACCTGAGGCTCCCACCGAAGAATTGATCTGGCAGGACCCAATCCCCGCCGTCAACCATCCTCTCATCGATGCCAACGACATCGCCTCCCTCAAGCGCACCATCCTGGAGAAGAGTGGCGTTGACCGGTCGAAGCTGGTGTCGACGGCGTGGGCGTCCGCCTCGACCTTCCGGGCCAGCGACAAGCGCGGCGGTGCCAACGGGGCCCGCATTCGCCTGCAGCCCCAGCGGGATTGGGAGGTGAACCGACAGCCTGGGCTGCAGGAGACTCTAACCGCCCTCGAGTCCATTCAGAAGGAGTTCAACGGCTCTGCTCCCAACGGAAAGAAGGTCTCCCTGGCCGATCTAATCGTGCTGGCTGGCAGTGCGGCCGTCGAACAGGCGGCTCGTGAGGCTGGCCATAGCATTCAAGTCCCCTTCATCCCCGGTCGGACGGATGCCTCGCAGGAGCAGACTGACGTCGAATCCTTCAGTCATCTGGAGCCGGTGGCCGATGGCTTCCGCAACTACGGTCGCTCGACCCCGCGTGTGCGCACGGAGCAGTTCCTCGTGGACAAGGCGCATCTCCTCAGCCTGTCTGCACCGGAACTGGCCGTCCTGGTCGGTGGTCTGCGCGTACTGAACGCGAACTACGATGGATCGTCTCACGGGGTCTTTACCTCCCGACCGGGCCAGTTGACCAACGACTTCTTCGTCAATCTGTTGGATATGAGCACGGCCTGGAAGGCGACCGATGGCAGTCGGGAGTTGTACGAGGGCACCGATCGCAAGACCGGCCAGCGCAAGTGGACCGCCACGCGCGCCGATTTGGTCTTCGGCTCGCATGCCGAGTTGCGGGCCATCGCCGAGGTTTATGGGAGTGTTGATGGTCCAGCTCGATTTGTCAAGGACTTTGTGGCTGCTTGGGACAAGGTCATGAACCTGGATCGGTTTGATCTCAAGAAGCAGTCGATTGTGTCATCTCGATTGTAGTTTTGCCTGGGCACGCTAGTCTGTTTGTAATGAGTTCACGCAATGAAATTAGCTTTTCATATTCCTTTGGTGCTTTATGCTGTTGCAGCAGTCGTAAGGAAGCTTGTGGAGTTGAAGCATGTTTGAAGCATGATTCTATAGCAAACTTGGTAGCTTTGCCTTCCAACTTCCCGGGGTTGAAGAAGGTCAGGGGCAATACGGGCAATGCCCTTCAAACTTTCGTATCGGATAGAAAAAAACAGCTAAATGTGGCTGCCCAGTAGCCACTTTGACTTGGAGGGATCTTGCTATGATGGATTGACTCTGGACCAGCCAGATACCTATGTTGATGAGGGATATTTCAGGGCTATTGCAGTCGAGCACAAAATAGACTCCTGGCAACACAAAGGTGACGACTAGGCTACAAGCATTCTGGTGTGGGTAGGGATCGGACCCGTCAGTCCAGTCAAAAGACGGTATTTCACAGACAGGCCGACCCAGTTTAGGCAGCAACGAAAACACCTGGTGTGAGTGGTCTGATGCTGTGTGGTTCAGGGGGGGAAGAGATGGAGTCAGCCCTACTCCGGGTGGGTCAGCCCTATCTATCTCCGTCACACCCAGCCCTAGACTCTCTATCACCCATTCCACATTTCTGGAGAGTCAGCCAGCTGATGAATATGACGAGCCTGATCAACACACCCTGAGTATTCCACGATGAAACATGTAAAGCCTGATTGTATTGAGATACTGAGCTAGATTGACCACGGTGTGGGCGTAGCAACCCGAAACATCGACGGACTGGAGACTATCCTGCTACGACCCACGCCACACGCCACCAGAACACGGGACAATGTCATCTACAGCGACCATTCCTGGATGGACTGGGAATATCTCGTAGATTTGCAACATCCTACCACGAGAATCGAAGCCGAGAAGCCAATTGTACTCACGTCTCGTCGCTCGGCTATTCCAGGAATGGGCAAGAGTCAAATCCACTAGGAAGCAGGGTAAGCAGACCCTGGTAGGGCTGGCCAGCAGACCAAATGAGCATGGAGGAGCTAAAATCACGACATCGCGCCCCATAATGCTGCTATGGCCGGATGTATGTTGATATAGTTATATGCCACACCACACGCCGCACCATGACCACCGCCTGGCCAAATGTTTCTCTGTGCAGTTCACCTGCTAGCCTTGGATTATGTCGAGGAAAATAGGCCGTCTTGCAGCCAAAGTGCTGGGAATTGAACTTATGCCTTCTGATCCAATCCCTACCTCCCATAAGTCTGATCCTGGCACGGCCAACGAACATGTTGACTACTATCTCGAGCCCGAGCCTACCCTCGGAGACTGGGTGCGGAAGCATATCCCCTCTCGACGGGCCGTCCACCACTACTTCTACAACATGTTTCCCTTTTGGCAATGGATCTGGTCATATAATATGCAATGGTTTATTGGGGACATGATTGCCGGTAAGTGCAGCTCATGGCCTACCACAAGAATTGGAAAGACTGACTGATGGTGGTTCCAGGTATCACCGTCGGTGCGGTGGTGATTCCTCAAGGCATGGCCTATGCCATCCTGGCTAAGCTGCCGGCGGAATATGGGCTCTACTCCTCCTTCATGGGGGTTTTGATCTATTGGTTCTTCGCGACTTCGAAAGATATCACCATCGGGGTAAGTAGTGATCTCAGAATGTCATACACCCACTGACCGACTGACTGATCCTCCGCTCTCTTAGCCGGTAGCAGTCATGTCTACTCTCGTCGGGACGATCATCATCGAGACGCAAGAGAAATACCCCGACATCGAGGCGACCACTATCGCCGGAGCTCTAGCCATTGTGTGTGGTGCCATTGTCACCTTTCTCGGACTGACTCGTCTCGGGTTCATCGTCGATTTCATTCCCCTGCCGGCCATCACAGCGTTCATGACCGGCTCGGCGATCAACGTATGTGCTGGGCAGATCAAGACAGTCCTCGGCGAGACTGCCAGCTTCTCGACTCGCGGAGCGACATACAAGGTCATCATTGATACCTTGCGCTATCTCCCGACCTCCCAGATGGACGCCGCCATGGGCCTGACTGCCTTGGCCATGCTGTATGGCATCCGGTCGGCGTGTAAGTACGGCTCCCGCAAATATCCCCACAAGGCGAAAGTCTTCTTCTTCCTCTCCACCCTACGCACCGTCTTCGTCATCTTGTTTTACACGATGATCAGTGCAGCGGTTAACCTGCACCGTCGCCACAACCCGGCTTTCAAGCTGCTGGGCAAGGTGCCGTACGGCTTTCAGCACGCTGGAGTTCCCAAAATCAGCGTGGCTATCATTCGAACCTTTGCGCACGAGCTACCAGCCGCGGTGATCGTGTTGGTGATTGAGCATATTGCTATTTCCAAATCGTTCGGTCGCGTCAACAACTATACCATTGATCCGTCGCAAGAGTTCATCGCCATTGGGATTGCGAACCTGCTGGGTCCGTTTCTCGGGGGCTATCCCGCCACCGGCTCCTTCTCACGCACGGCCATCAAGGCTAAAGCCGGAGTGCGCACGCCTCTGGCTGGTGTGATCACTGCTGTAGTGGTTCTGCTGGCGATTTATGCCTTGCCCGCTCTGTTCTTCTTCATCCCTTCATCCTCCCTGTCCGCCGTGATTGTGCACGCAGTGGGGGACCTTATCGCCCCACCGAGCACCATCTACAGATTCTGGCAGGTTGCCCCCTTGGACGCGATCATTTGTTTAGTGGGGATAGTAGTTATCATCTTCTCGACCATCGAGATCGGAATTTACTGTACGATCTGCATGTCCCTGGCGGTTCTACTCTTTCGCATCGCCAAAGCCCGCGGGCAGTTTCTAGGGCAGGTGCAAATCCACTCCGTCATCGGAGACCATTTGTTGGATGACTCCAGCACGATTGACCTGACCAAGAATGCTTACACTCAATCTGCTCCACGATCACTCTACCTCCCTGTCTCCCACGCGGATGGCTCCAACCCGGCGATCCAGCCTGTCCAACCCACGCCGGGGGTGTTCATCTACCGTCTCTCGGACGGGTTCAACTATCCCAATGCCAATCATTACACCGACCACCTCGTCCAGCACATTTTCGATTGCACCCGACGGACTGATCCTGCAAGCTACGCCAAGCCTGGGGACAGGCCGTGGAACGACCCCGGTCCCCGCGCGAGGAAAAGTGCGGAAAAGTCCAGCGTGGAGGACCCGTCTGCCTCCCAGCCTTTGCTTAGGGCTATCATTCTTGACTTCTCTGCAGTCAACAATGTCGATATCAGTGCCATCCAGAACCTGATTGACGTCCGCCAACAGCTGGATCGGTATGCCGCCCCCAACCCGGTGCAGTGGCACTTCGCGCATGTGAACAACAAATGGACCAAGCGTGCCCTGGTGGCTGCTGGCTTTGGGCGACGTCTGTCCCCGGAGGCCGCACCGGGCAGGGTGATAGATCTGGCGGAGTGGGATGAGGGCCAGGTGGATGGGACGATGCTTAGAAGCGATGCCGAGTCTCAAGTCAGTGGCAAGGGCTGGATTGACAAGCAAGGCATGCGAACCACAACAACGGCACAGTCTGCACTGGATGAATCGGACTTGTCGTCGGATATTGAGAATGCTGTCACAACAACGCCTCTAGCGCCATACACGGGGAAGGCTGTGTCTGCAGGCCCGCGGCGACGCGTCGCCATAGTGAGTGGTGTCAATAGGCCACATTTTCATGCCGATCTTACGGGAGCTTTGGCGGCGGTCAATCAGAGCTTGGAAGAGGATGTGGGGATGCCTTCTAAGCTGTAGAGTAGGCAGTGCTACATACTGAGAGAATAATGCATGAATCCACCCGGCACCACTTTGACCGATCGCATTTACGCAACTCGTAGCAAGGCTGCCAGCCCTCTATCTACATACGGGTGCTAAGATTGTAGCATGGATCCAACATCGACGATGCGCTCTAAACACCCACCTCAGCCGGTCGCACCACAATAGAATCATCGCCCATCTTGTTCGGAGTGTTCGGACTTCCCTCACGCGAGGTTCTCTGCTCATCGATGAGAGGAGGCTCTCTCGTCGTCACGCCAATTCGCCCTGTCGCCAGGTCTCGCTTCTCAAGATAGGCAATTAGGCCAATAAATGGGATGGTCAACGCCCCCGTCACCGAACTCGCGATATACCCTTTGTGGAAGTTGGGCGCATCGGTGGCCGGGAAGAAGATCAACGGCCACCAGGTGACGAAGGCAAAGTCGAACGAGTTCATAAACCCGGTGGTGATGGCCCGCAGCTGGAGGTCATGGGCGGTCACGTCGGCCATCCAAGAGTACCAGATCGCCTGGGGCGCATAGGTGGTGCCGATCAGGTAGAAGGCCACGAAGTATCCTGCGTCGGTGGATGGGTTGGAGACGAGAATGGCGGAGCCGATGACGAAAGTGAAGCCGATTGCGAGCGAGACCTGCCAGCGGGACTGGAGTCGGTCGGAGATGATGGCGTAGAGTACCGTGCCAAAGATGGCGGCGGCATAGATTCCGGTGGGATAGTTGTTCTGTTGGATGGTCGAGTAGCCCCTGGAAGCCATCCAGTAGGGCATCACATTGTTGGATACCTCTTGCACCGACAGGGAGTACACTGGCCGTTTATCAGGAGTCTGAATGGCGGAAGAAAAACACCTAGGGCAACATACGCATGAAGATGAACGGCAAGAGCCAGAATTGCCAGCTGAGCAAGACACGCTTGAAGACGGTGGCATCCCAGGATTGCTTGCGCACGAGGCCGAGTCGAGTCACCGCGTGTTCTTTCTGCTCCTCGGTGAGATACCAGGCGGATCGGTGGGATGGCAGGTCGGGAATGAACACCCAGCCTAGAAACGAGTTGTTAGGCAGTCTTCAATCTTCTGGGGGGTAATTCCCAAACCCACCAAAGAGTGCAACCGGGACGGTCATCACCGAGACAATGATAAAGATCCATTTCCAGGCAGGCAGACCCCCCTTGCCCGCCAGTGCCGCCAGCAGACCAGCCTGGATCCATCCCCCAGCCATCGTGCCGATGTGGCCAAAGACGCAGAAGACTGCTGCCCGCATCCCGAGCTCGGATTTCTGATACCACGAGCCGAGAATGAACTGGGCGCCGACACTGGTCCCCGTGTCAGCATCCGCGCATCAAACTTCATGCCCTCATCCTGGGTTGGGCACCGGGGGTGGACATACTAGGCAATGGCCGAGAAGCCTCCTTCAATCGCATTCAGCAAGATGACCTGCCAGGCCCGCGTCATCTTGTAGGTGATCAGGGTCAAGACGCTCCAGGTCACATTGGCGGTAACAAACACATACTTAGGGCGGGCGATGGTCAATAGACTGGTGCCGGGCATCTGGCACACCGCATACACCACCAGATAGGCGGTGTTCATGTAGTTGTACTCCTTGCCCTGGAACCCAAGGGCCTCTTTCATCCCGCTGATATAGGCGGACGAGTAGCTGGATCGGGTGACGCCAAAGAGAAACCAAATCAAAGAGAAGTAGGGCAAAAGAGTGATGTCGAGTTTAGCTAGCAGAGCGCGGGTCTTGGGCTCGGACCCCCACAGTCGGATAGCCAGCCAACTGCGAAGCGAGGCCATCGTGTCTCTACAATTGTTCACGGGTGGTGAAGGAAGGGGGAAGGAGCAAGCCGCGGGAAAGGCTTATCTCGACCTATATAAGAGTCGCAGAAGAGCGACGCTTGGATACTCAGCATTACACAAGCGGGTGGCTATCACACGCCATCTGCTGAATGGTCATGGCGAAAACGCCTTGCAGATGGTGAAATCCGCCTCTGCTGATAAGCATAGCCTGCTTGCACAGTATGCTGAGTCATTATGCATGTTTTGTGCTTCAGGATCCGCGGGGAGCAAAAAGAAAGGCAGAAAAAGAAAAGGGAAAGCCCAACGCGGGGGTTGAACCCGCAACCTTGAGATTAAGAGTCTCACGCTCTGCCGATTGAGCTAGCCGGGCTGGTTGATGAATGATTTAAAGTTATCAAAACCAATATCCTTATTTCATGGCTTCCAGCCAGGAACCCCTTGGCTCGGGACCCGCGGACAGTCAAGGGGGAAGAATGACTGAACACCAAACAACAAAGCACCAAAACAACAAAACAACAATATGTCTTCCTCCATTCATCCTGTCGGAATCTTTTCGAATCTCAATCTCTCGGCTACTCAGGCAAGATGTCCCCTCCTGCACCAAAGAATGTCAATCTTCCCAACGACATCGAGTATATTCCCACTCCACCACCCCAGCCCTCGGCCTTCACTGCCGGCGACCACCACCAAAACGGTGGAGTTGCCCTAACCACGGTCAGTCTTCTCAATTACTACCAGGTACCCTTAAGCATGCATGCTAATGGACACATGATTAGTCCCCCGCCCTTCACAACCCGCCGCTACCCGTTGACGGACCTGGCAATGAATCCTTCTCCAATCTCTGGTTGATCAGTGCTCTAGTGGGAGTCCCCGCGCTCCTGACATGGACAATCGGTGGAGGGATGAAGACCGGAGTGTGCCTTGGTCTGGTCACTCTATTCCCCATCCTCATTGCCTTCTGGACCTGGACCTCGAGCTGCAGCCCTCCTACCAACACCAAAGTCAAATTACCCGGTCGGCCCATCGAACAATATGTCACCTTCAAGAAGGAAGCGGATCGGGCCAAATGGCACGGTCGGAACAAAGTGCCTTTGCAAACCTTTTGCGAGATGTATCTCGACGGTGAGGTCGATTTCAACGGCGATTGTCTAGATGTCATGGAGTACCGCCACGACTGGGCCAACTTTCGGTTTACCTGGGAGCTATTCAAGTATATCCTCCTGACCTTCGCCCGGGACGTCCTCTTCCACACCAAGTCGCAGGATGAGGAACAAATTCGGCCCAACTACGACCGCGGGAATGACCACTACGCCTGGTTCCTCGGTCCCCGGATGGTCTACACTTCGGGGATCATCTCCGATCCAGACCGAGAGGAAACCCTGGAGGAAATGCAGGATAACAAGATGGCGATTGTCTGTGAGAAGCTCGGTCTCAAGGAGGGGGAGACGATGCTCGATATCGGTTGTGGCTGGGGAACCCTCGCCAAGTTTGCGAGTCTCAACTACGGGGCCAAAGTCACCGGTCTCACCATTGCGCAGCATCAGACGGCTTGGGGGAATGAGGCACTTCGGGCCGCCGGGGTTCCCGAGGCCCAGAGTCGGATTCTTTGCATGGACTATCGCGATATTCCCCGGACCCAGTACGACAAAATCACCCAGATCGAAATGGGCGAGCACGTCGGCGTTCGCAAGCTATCCACCTTCTTCCGTCAGTGTTACGACCTGCTCAAGGATGACGGGGCCATGTATGTTCAGCTCTCGGGCCTACGGCAGGCGTGGCAGTACGAGGATCTCATTTGGGGCCTGTATCTGAACAAGTACATTTTCCGCGGCGCCGATGCCTCGACCCCGTTGTGGTATTACGTCCTGGCCATGGAGCGGGCCGGATTCGAGATCAAAAGGTGAGTGTGCTCTCCGTACCTTAACTTGAGCATTGATGTGGCATGGGGATTGACCAGTCTTGATAACAGTATCGATACCGTTGGGGTGCACTACTCGGGCACTCTCTGGAGGTGGTATCGGAACTGGATTGGGAATGCGGAGACAATCAAGGCCACGTATGGTCAGCGATGGTTTAGAGTACGTTTTTGAGACTGCTAGAAGACATGCATAACAACTAATCGTACTATAGATATGGGAACTGTTTCTTGCTTGGTCGGTCATTGCTTCTCGCCAGGGCAGTGCCACTTGCTACCAGTTTGTGGTGGTGAAGAACCTTAACTCGACCCACCGCATCAACGGAGTCTCGTCGCAGTTTGGATTATCGGCTGCATTGGCTGCCAGCAGAATGGCGGGCAAGTCGAGACTACCGTGAAGAATATGCCAATTCGAAACATAGTGGGTGGATGGTGGCGAGGTGTTACTTGTAGTACAACATGCTCCGCTTGACAAAATATAAATGATGCTGCAGACTACTAGACCTCTCGAACGCGACTACGCCACCACATCGAACGAATGGTGACAAGTAGCAACTCACTCGAGTATCTGAATATTGAGCCACTCGATTGCTGTAACCCGACCCCTCAAAGTCAGCAATGGCCTATGCAAGATTGAACGTACCAGTCAGTTGTGGCAGCCGAGAAACCCGAGGCAACGACCGGGCCACACGTGACCCGATTCCCAACGTCTTATCTAATCTTATCGGATAAGCTTATCTTATCTACGGTCGGCAAATCTGCATTCGTTCAAAGCCAGCCAGCCATGAACTAAACAGTGAGGCCCTTCAGGCCCATCGACATGGCAACCGAATCGAATCCGCCCTGAATATCGCAAGCAATCATCTTTGCCGGATCCAACAACGCCCATGGGTCGTCGAGACCACCTTCATTGTGCTCCAGCATCCGAACTAGACCGGTCAACAAGCGGGTCGCGGACTCGATATTGTTGAGATTGGTCTGCACAAACTCGCCTCGAACAGACAAGGAGGCCAGCTGTGAGCCCAGATTAGCCAGGTTGGCCTTGCTTCGGCGCACTTCATCCATCAACGCCAGTCTAATGGGGAGATCCCGTGAGCACAGCACTCCTTCCGCGCGAGCCAGATAGCCCGGGCATGCAAAGATCTCACAGGAGGCCAGCTCCCAGAGCCGGACGGCTGGCTCTTCCATCGCGAGCGCCGTTCGCACAATCACGTGTTTCCAGTCTCTGGTGTCGAAGGGGCAGGCTCGACGTGACCAGAATGCTTCAGCCAGGACGAAAGATCGGTAGGCGACGAAGAGCGGGCGGCCGATGCGACTGGTCAAGACGCCCGGACCGCGGAATCGGAACATGTCGGAGATGCCGCGGGTATGCGCCAGCCACGCCGCCGAGCCCGCCCCATCCGTCATGGCATACAGACCCAACAGGATGGCGGCGAACAGCATCTCATCCGTGACAACTACCACCCCCGTGGGTCGAGGTGCGAGGGTAGTGCGCAGTTGCGCCGAGGCGTCGCCGTAGTGCTCCCAGCTCAGTAGGCGCCGTTGACGGTCGGCGTGGACGGTGGCCAAGTGCAGGGTGGTCAGGGCGCAGACTGCCCCTCGCACCACGGCGGGAGCGGTGGCCAGGTCATGGCGCATGTAGACCATCGGATCGAGGGCTACATGGGTCTCGTAGGTAGCATAGAGGCAGGAGTAGTTGGTGGCAATCCAGTCGCAAAAGACATCTCCGTGTTGGGTGGACAAAGCATGGTGGGTGAGGGCTGGTGCTAAGAGTTCGTCGATGGGGAGCCCACGGGGGCGAATGCGCCGGAGAACTGGTGCCGATGCTATGGTGATATCTTGATTGGCACGGGCTTTGTTTGGTCGAGGTCGAGGTTTGGGGATATGAGGGGTTTCAGGGCAAAATTTGAAAGTTCGAGAATAACCAGGACAGAGTACCCCTCGGTCGCGGCATCGTCTACAACCCGGACTGGATTCATCGCATTTGACACGGCGCTGCAGACAGTTTCGACAGCCGTGACTCCGAGGAACTCCTACCATTGAGAGATGTAAGTTGGTGGTTAGAAAGGGGACAGGGTCTGAGGGAAAAAGATTCCGTCAGGTTATTGTGGAACGCAGTCCCACTTTGTCCAGGGGTACAGACTAAGACGGGGCTAGCTAATAATGCCGCGGGAAAGCCGATACGGTAAGGTGGCATCTAAATTACACTGTAGTATAGTATAGTGTACTATTAAAGGCTCTGTACCCGGGTTCAACTATCGCTCGCTTCTATTCACATTCACCGGTACAAAAAGTGAAAAGAATCGTTCTAGAGTGTCTGCGTCCTCCAATGAAACAACTAGGGAGCAGTGTTGATCAGGACGCAATAACACCACACAGCCCTCAGGAGCGATACCATAGAGCGAGTAGGCCATGCCACAGCGCGGTGCAAACCCCTCGTTGTCGGCGAAGACCCGCCGATACTCACGGCCCCTCCGATCGTCATAGGGGCGGAATATTGGAGGTAGGCTCATGAGTTGGACATCGAATCTAGAGGCGGAATGGATCAAGTACACTGCTACTGACCCCACGGCCGTTGTCGCCCCTGGCATACAGAGCGGGGCAAGAATGGAGGTAGGGCGCGTGAGCTGTCTTGCCAGGGCTTCCACCCGCTGCAATTGCGACGCCTTGCTGACGTCGCCCCCGAAAACAAGCAGGTGCCATTGACCAGTGCTCTGGAGTCTTTCTTGGAGATACCATGGCTGTGAGTCACTTTGACAGAGCACAAGGACATCGGGCAGACGTCGACCAATTACAATGTTCTTAGCAAGGTGAGGCGTGCTACAGTAGAGGACCCCATGCTTGTCTGGCCGCGAGGGAGGAATCCGGGTGGCGGTCACCAAGAGATTCGGGGGATAAGTGACACTCAGCCCTGAGGCTGTCGTGTTCTCCTCTGAGAGGGTTTCTTCGAGTCCCGTGGTCTCGTCCTTCAAGTCTGCCAGATTTTCTCGGTTGGCCAAAGCATGGTCTGAACCGGAGCATATACCCAAGCACATTCGGCGATCAAAACGTATCAATCGTTCAGCGACAGGCAGTCTTTCTTCCTGGTACGTTCGCAGAATGGCAGGTGTAGCTACGCCTCTCAAAACTGAAGCCAGCTTCCAGCCCAAGTTGTAGGTGTCCTGCATGCTGACGTTCATTCCCTGACCGGCCTTAGGCGAATGGGTATGGACAGCATCCCCAGACAGAAAGACTCGATCTTGCACCGAGAAATCACTGCATAACCTCTGTCCAACCTTCAGCCAAGTCAGTCGTACTTCGCCTGTTTCCACACAACTTGATCGGAGCATACCGTATAAATCGTACACCACTCGACGTGAGAGGTGACGAGGTAATACGGCTTCAGAGCGTCACCAAGAATCGACAGCAGAACCGAAGGCCGACGGTCTCTCCGAAATCGAGTCGCACATCTGGCGGGCAGTTGAACATAGAAGCGTACGAGGTTGTCTTCTCGGGGAATAATCATAACATTGCCCGCCTGGGATTTGATAATGCACCGTTTGCGAATGTCAGCTACAAAACATCAGTGGTCTGTCAGTGTAGGCAAGCGATAGAACTGCGAGAGGAGCAACTGACGAAAGTCGGTGGTTGGTATACAGTCAAGAACGCCCCAGTCGCCGTTACCCGCAGACTTCCCCTCTAGGCTTAACCCCAATTGTTTGCGAACCCAGCTGTGGGCGCCATCACAGCCGATAAGGTACTTGGTGCGCACGACCGACTGGTTTCCAGTGGTATCAGCTCTGTCCTAGCCTGCGGGGTCTCTTAAGAGACTCACATCGGTGTCCAGCCGTAGCTCAACAGCATGTTCCCTGTGAAGATCCACGAGGTCTTGGTGGATGAGGAGTTCCTGTGGTGATGTCTTCCATTTGATCTGCACATTTGGGGATTTATCGATGAATTCGAGCAGACGTTCTTCAATCCGACCTTGACCAAGAGTGACTTCCTGGAATCTAGACAGCCCCGGGTTGCAGTTGGGCGAGACGCTGTCGCGACATAAGTCTCCTCGAGAGTCATGGTGCTGGACGCATGCTTGGGTGTTAGGGCTTCTCTTGACTCACACCGGGACAAGGTACACGAACCCACAAGCACACTTCCATGGTCCGGTTGGATTCCTTCCAGATGATACTAGCAAGACCAAAACTGTCCAGAATCTCTAGAGTTCTACTTTCGAGCCCGTCGGCATGCCCCGTCAACGTTCTACACGACTTCATCTCGATGATGAGGGTCTTGATGTTTAATTGAGCCATCCAAACAGCCGCCATCAATCTGTAGCCTTGGATTAGCAAGCATCATCCCAGTTCGTTGTATTATTGTGTCACTTACCCAGAGGGTCCCGCCCCAACTATAACCACATCAAAGACCATGGAGGGCGCGGGCTGATCTTGGCAGATCATGTTTACTGTCGGACGATAGTAAGTTTTGTGTGGCGTTGTTAGTCAATGCGATGTCTGTTGAAAGAGAACAGGAACCGCGCTACGGTGGGCGTGGAAGTTGTTAAATATACTAACCTCGTCCAATGTCTAATAATTTGAAAATACCCAGGCAGATGAAGTGAGTGGCTTATTTTGCAATGACGCAGTCTCCAAGTTTCTGCACATGCTTCTTGAACGGGCGTCATCGAATTCTATTGCCATCAACACGTATGCAGTGGCAAGTATGAGCAGGCAAAACTATCTCATTTAGTGCCTGTGATTAGTCAACGCTTTGGCCACTTCAAGAGCCGCGTGATGGTAAGGTAGTCGGATTGCTTCCTCATCAATGATCTAAAGACATGATATTCCGGCCGTCATCCGGCATAACGCCTATGGTACAGTATTTGAAAGGCCTGCTCAGAACATCGTTTTCCGTCGCCTGTTGCCGCGTTTACACGGTGACGTTGATGACACAATGCGAGAAGATTAGTGGTCTGAGTGACGTGGAGATCGACCAGGGCTCTGTATGTCCTACTACGGTGCTTATTGATCTGGAACTATGGGACTCATGTGCTTGTCTTCCGAGAGACGAAAGACTTATAAGTGCTCATGGGCATCAGGTTCGTCCTTAGGGAAGCACACTTAACTCATTCCCAAGCACATCATCAGGCCTGATATTTCACTGGTCTCAACCAATTAGACATTCCTCGTGGACCCTACAAAGACCGTTTACATCCAAAGTGACAATGTCCAGCCACCTCGAGTTGCTGAAGCAGACATGGGCTTTGCTTGATCGATTTAGCAAGTTTGCCGATCAGGTAGTGATTGGTGAGGATGGACTCACCCTAGCAGCCGTTGTGGCCGTTTCAAGGTGAGATCATGACCCTTAAAGATATTTAGTCTCTCAGCCTAGAAGATAGATCAACAGATTATCAAGACTAATCTATACTAGGGCTTCTGCAAAGGTATCAATGCAAACGTCGCCTGAGCTGATGCAGCGCTTGACGAGATGTGTTGACACCATGAATGCGGAACTTGAGAAGGGAGGACAGATCTATGGTATAATTCATCATCTTTCACCTTGACACTTAGAGGTCGACGGGCTAAACATGAGCGCAGGAGTCAATACAGGGTGTGGGGGCAATGCAAACACCCGCACAAGCAAGCTGCAGATCATCCAGCACTCGTTCTTTCAGCACCACCAGGCAGGAATTCTTCCACAACTTGTCCATCCTCGAGGCAATACCTTGTGTGGTATGAACCAGGAACGTCAAAGCCTCTCTCCTGAGATCACTCGCGGCACCATTCTCCTCCGCTGCAATTCTCTCCTCCGCGGTCACTCAGCCGTTAGAATCGAGGTCATCGAACTCCTTCTTCGGGTCCTGAACGAGGGATTTGTGCCACTAATCCCCCTAAGGGGTAGCATTTCCGCCTCGGGAGACCTGTCTCCTCTCTCATACGTCGGGGGTCTGGTGGAGGGGAATGCCGACGTGTTTGTGCGGTTCGAGGAAGATGGCAAGCAGATCGTCATCTCAGCGGCAGATACTCTGCAGCGCTTGGGTCTTGATCCCCTGAAGCTGAATGCTAAAGAGGGCCTAGGCATCATGAATGGCACAGCTGTCAGCACTGCAGCGGCCAGCGTCGCTCTTTATGATTGCCAACAGATGGCCCTCCTGGCACAGGTCCTAACTGCTATGGCGACCGAAGCGCTTCTCGGAACCGTGGATAACTACCACGAGTTCATCTCCCAATGTCGACCCCATCTTGGACAAGCTGAAGTTGCCAGCAACATTCGAACTTTCCTGCGCGGCTCTGCCCTCTGCCATAAAACCGACCCCAAGAAAACAGGGCTGGTGCAGGATGGTTACTCACTACGAACTGCGCCCCAGTGGATCGGCCCTCAGCTCGAAGATCTTCTGCTAGCTGCCCGCCAGATTGACATTGAGTTGAATTCCACGACAGACAACCCGTTGATCGATGTTGAAGGGCAGCGCTTTCACCACGGTGGCAATTTCCAAGCTGCGTCCGTGACCAGTGCAATGGAGAAATGCCGATCCAGCCTGGTGATGCTCGGAAAGATGATCCTTGGCCAGTGTGCAGAGGTGATTAATCCATCTCTGAGCAGGGGTCTTCCTGCGAATCTAGCGCTGGATGATCCTAGTCTCTCATTCGCGGCCAAGGGCCTCGATATCAACATGACGGCATACTACTCAGAGCTTGCATTTCTGAGCAATCCGATCAACAACCATGTTCATTCCGCTGAGATGAATAACCAATCCGTCAACTCCCTAGCGTTGATTTCGGCCCGATATACTAGTGAATGTGTGCAAATCTTGTCAATGATGTATGCTGCCCAACTGTACATTCTTTGTCAAGCTCTGGATATCAGAGCTCTGAACATGGACTTCTTTGCCAAGGCCAAAGCGAAATCAAGGACTGCCTACCAGGGGATATTCGGGCATAGTTTCAAGTTAGGCTCGATCGATTTCGAATTGGTATGGACACAGATCATTTCCACTTGGGATCAGACAGGCCATCTTGATCTCGCAGATCGGTGTCACCACGTTGCCACCCAGTCATTCGCTCATCTTCTTGACGCAGAGATGCGAGAAACGAACACTTTGTCGTCCACCTCGTGTGACCAGGTCAAACAGTGGAAGGAACGGCTGTTGGAGGTTTTGGCCACCTGCTACGACGAGACTCGGCAGGAGTTCATCAAGTCTCCCTCGACTTGCACCTACTTAGGTGAGGCAAGCAAAGCAATGTACCAGCTTGTCCGGCATGACCTTGAAATTCCCTTGCATCAAGGTATCCGCGATCATCCACCACTTGCGGCAGCCGCAGGAGAATCCGAAGGCAAGAAAACCATCGGCTCGTATGTATCGCGGATATACGTGGCACTGAGTGAAGCGAGATACGTTGAGCGACTGCGTAGCCTGGCTGCCTTGAAATGAGAGACCGCATAATTGACGAGACAGGTAGTAGTAAACGAAAGCTGGGCTGGTGGCAAGTGCAGGATTTGGTATGTGACGATCTAGAATGCAGCTTGACTTCTTGTTGTCATCTATGGTAGATGGCATCCTGTACGTAAAAAGGATTCTAAAACGTACTGGAATTGCCGACAGCGCGGCTCAAACCGACACTTGCGCATAGTACAGTACAGTAACAATTGGAAGTTCCCGACGTTATGAGTTGGTCTCATTCCTTGCTTGAGATCAACGGCACCGGGCAAGAGACAAGAACACGTGAAATGATGACGGCATTATTGTGACCAGAAATTGACGCAAGGGGGAGGGCAAAGACAAGTGGACACCGTACGGGAATACCAGGCAATTCCAAGGAATAGTGAATGCACGATGATTTGGCGAGAAGGTAGAATTCTAATATCTTCCCGGAATCTAAATTTCCGTGGAAGATCGATAGGGCTCAGGCATTGGTAAGAGAGACGACCGTTACATCATAATTATCTGTGCTTTCAATCTCATGCAAAGTATAATGAGAGGGATATAATGTAGGCCTCCTCTATCCCGCAAAAGGGCCTTGGGACTGTTTAGACAATCATTGATCACATCCCCTGAGGATTCCTTTTATCTACTCGCATTTTCCAGGTCAGTTTGGTCCTAATTGCCTCGAGAAGCTCAACCTAAATCGCCGGGATGACCCAGTTCTATCTGCCAGAACAAGCAATTTATGTTGGTCAGCCTTGGTTGCGGACGCTGGACTTCTACTTGACCGAAAACCCTGACTTTTAGACTAGCACAACGATGGTCGCGAGCAGAGATTACTGGAGTTCATCCTGTCACACCCCGACTATGCGTTGATGAAAGGCTGCCCGGACAGAATCCTAGCCGCCATTGATGAATATGGGAGGGAGAAAGCTTTTCTCATGAATGTCGGGACTGAGAAAGGTCAAATTGTCAGCAAAGTCATTTCCCGCGTCAAACCAGGGGTGATCGTCGAACTTGGGGGCTACATTGGCTATTCTGCGCTTCTCTTTGGCGATGCACTTAGGAAGGCAGGAGGTCGCAAATACATTAGCCTGGAAGTCAGCCCTATCTTTGCCAGTGTCTCCGCTGCTTTGGTCGGGCTGGCTGGCTTGAGTGATACTGTTGAAATCATGGTGGGGCCTTGTCGGGACTCACTGCGAGCCCTAAGCAAAGCATACCCCGGCCGTGGCCTGGACATGTTCTTCTTTGACCATGCCAAGGTTGAGTATACCAACGACCTGAAGCTTTGCGAAGAGCTCGGCTTGGTGTCGCAAGGTACCACCGTTGTTGCCGATAATGTCAGCCGGAACCCCGAATATCTGGAATACGTCCGCGCATCGGGCGCAAAGAAGATGAAGGCGGCAGATGAAAACAAGGGATTGACACTGTGTCATGAGTCTGACATGTCCCTTGGTCGGCCTGACCTGCGATATGAGACGTCGGTGGTTCATAGTATTGAACCCACCGGAGAGCCTGTCAGTATTTCAATGTCTAGCAATCACATCAGGACTAACGGATCTATAGGATGCAGTGGAGATTTCATGTTGCTTGGGAAGTAGCTAGTGGAATGCAAACACTGCGCGATAATGCTTCCTGCGCGGAGAGGTAATATATTCGAATAAGTCAAGTATGGTCAGGATCAAAATGAAGCGAGATGTCTCATTCTAGAATCAAGAGGCAGACATTGTCCCGTATTATCCACATCTCTAGACAATCCCGATCATCATATTAAGCAATGTGTTGGTACCAAGCGTACAGTACAGCTTTCCGAGAGGCCACAGCTACCTAGGCTATGGGATCCTGATGTCGATCTCCCTGACCATAGACGTGGATGACCTATTACCACCGAGCTGCTTAGCCGCTTATTTCTTCTCGATATTTCTACAAAGCGAAATACCGGTGGGATATATGTAACGGGGACCGTAATAGAATGGTCGTAGAAGAATATTAAGGGATGGACATGAAAGAAAGGTCATGCCGCTGCCCTCTACGCTTCGACTGTCAGCGAGCCGTACTATGGCTGGTTCAGGGTCAGCAATGTGCGGAAGCGGCAGGACTACGTAGCCGAGATTGAAACATCATCTTTGCTCGCGGACTAAGTCCACGACGAGCTGGGCTAATAGTACCTGTCGAGCTTTGCCCTGCTTGATTATAGGTCTGAACTAACCAACTGACTCGCTCTCAGTGTTCTTTATAGCCTCATACCTGTGACTTGTGAAGACGAGACATATCAGGCAGACTGCCGGTTGTGTAATAGCTATATAAAGCCCACTGCAAGATCATTAGCAGCATCTTTGACAATGTGGAAGATGCCCCATGCGGTATCCCCCATTGGGTTGCGATGTAGTGCAGGCATGACCCTTTCAGGCACTCCACTCGAGTCTAGAAATCGGGCCACAAGGAAATAGACCTATGATGAGCGAAAAGGCCGGTGGCAAGACGTTCGGAACCCTCAGCATACGAGTTAGCATTTTTTATGATGTCATTTCTGGCAGCTTAAAGATGCGGCCTGTATTAATTCGCTGCGATTCATGAGATCAATCAGCGTGAGCCAGCTTTGTTAGTGCTTTATCCAAAATAAGGCCTATATTCAAGACCATCGCGCTCTTTGGGGCCAACGGTCAAGTTGGAAAGGCTGCTTTGGAGGCTCTAATGCGTTGCAAAGATCCTCCCATTCACATTCTTGCATTTGTCTCCCCCAACTCCTCCTTCTAGCTCGGAAGCCCGGAAGACATTAGCGTGACAATCAAGCGTGTCGATCTGAACATCGTGGCTTGCAACAACCTGGCCACTATTCTTGCTGATGGCAAAGCTGATGTTGTGATCAGCGCTCTTGGTGGCCAAATTATCAACGAGCAAGGCCTCGTCCAAGACGCGGCTGCACAAGCAGGGGTCAAGCGATTTTATCCCAGTGAATTTGGGATGCATCAAGTAGTCTGGTTGCCAGACGAACCAGCCTATGTTCATCCTGTACATAATACAACCCCCTTTTCTATTCTTCATCGCAACCGTCTCAATTGAGCTAAGCTAACCGACCCAAGATCTGGGATGTGAAGCTAAGATGCTTCGAGGAGGCTATTCGACACCCCGCGATCAAAAGCGGCTCAATGAACTATACGGTGATCGGATGCTCCGACTCCTATGATGCCGCCAAAGAGCCGCTATTCTGCCCCTGGCTGGAAATCGATACAAATCTCACTCACAATGGTTACACAATCCATTGCGTCGGAGATCCAGAAGCTAAGATGGATTATTCGACTTTCAACGACACCGGCAATTTTCTCGTGGCCACTCTCCGTCGCCCAGAGCTATCGGAAAACAGATGCTTAGGGTTCAGGAGTGATCAGCTCAGCTTCGCGGAGGTTGGAGATGTTCTGCAGAAGTACTCAGGCAGGCCCGTCAGGCTAGAGGTGATCCTAGTCGACCAAGTGAAGGATATCCTTAAGAACCCCTCGTCTGCGCCCGTCGAGTGGTGCAGAAAAAGTACCTTTCCGACTGACTTCTTTCTTACGATCAGGTGTGCTCAAGGCCAGGGTGTGTTTTGGAGACCCCCTGGATTCTTACACCACCATCTTTTCCCTGAGGTTCAGCCGGTTACAGTAGCCGAGTACTTCAAGAAGTTGTTCGCAAAGTGAGATTGCTTGCACTGAAACTGCCGTGGTTGAGGCTACAGCGAATGGAATCAATTTGGATAAAGGGTCGGATCAATTTACTCAGACTTGTGATTGCAATTGGTTACAACCCAGATCTTGTTGCAGCAAGGAAGGAAAAGACTTCAGACGTCGAGTATATGTTCGATGACGAGTCCACAGTGCAAGCCACTTAGATTCTCCTCAATGCATCCTCACAAAGTGGACCAATAAACCCCAAGGGCGTGATATAATGTAGTCTAGTAGGCGTAGGCAAAACGTAGAAAAACAAACTACTTGCTCAAAACCAAGTCATTTTCCCAGCACCAGCAAATCAACGTAATGTGATGTCCAGTAAGGAAGATGGGAGACATCCACTTACCAATAGTTAGTCTGCGACTTGACATCAGTAAGACGTTGCGCATATGCCTTGCCTTCCGTAGCACAGGCTAAGGAATTCGTGGTTAAATAAGCCCGTGGTGACGCCCCATATGTGCTTGCCATATCCCATGAATAGACGCTCAAACCCATCAAGTCTTTTAGCATTTTTCTTCCACCATGGCTGAAACGCGATCAACAGAGGCACGCAGTGAGAAGGAATGCTTCCAGATCGGCCATCGGCTCCGCCTGAATTTCCTTGCAGCCATGGCCCATGAGAAGCCGGATAAGCCGGTCATGCGGCAACTGTTGCCGTCTACAACCCACGCCCCTGATGGCCGAAACGAAATCATTCTTAGCTACCAGCGCATTATTAGACTGGTTGATAGGCTGGCCTGGATGCTGAGTCGCAGACTCTCGCAGGGCGGTGTCAGTCCACAAACTGTCGGGTACAAGCCTACCTTACCACCTCCCATGCTTGGGTGGAGATATACTAAGTCTTTGATGATCTAGTTATCTTGGACCAAGTGACCCGAGGCACCTGCTCATTGCATTGGCAGCGACAAACTCGGCCAAGGTAAGTGCTTAAGCTACAAATGACTTGGGAGACAAGACACATCCGCTCACTATTAATGTCTACCGGTATTCCAGGCTCTGTTGCTCTCGCCACGAAACAGTGTCTCCATGCATCAAGTGCTTCTCGAGGAATCTCAATCAGCACTTCTACTATGTGATAATCCCTTCGCAACCACAGCAACCCAAATAAGAAAACAGCGAGACATTGATCTTCTATTCATCCCGGACTTTGTAGATGGTCCAGTCGAGCCCATTCCATATGTGGACACATGGTTCACCTCCCATGGCAAGCCTTTAGTGGTATGCTTCCTCAGAGATAAGCTTGCTGGACGGAATCAATTCACCTAACGTACAACAGACCCTGCATACTACAGGCTCTACTGGTAATCCCGCACCGGTCACCATGACTCATTCCGCGTTGGGATCAATTGACAGGCAGCAGAAGTTGCCAGAGAAAGATCCCACCGGAGGCAAATGCCAGCTCGAAGTTCTCGCTAAGGCTTCAACGGTGTATATGGCATTCCCTCTGTTTCATGTCGCAGGGTTCGGCCTCAGTTGTTATTTGATCCTCGCGGGTTGTACGCTCTTGTTCGGATATCAACGACAAGCACCGAGTGTTGCAGCCTTAAGAACAGCCCTCAAGGTTTCAAACGTGGACGGCGCCCTGCTACCGACGTCTATCATTGATGAACTTTCGTTGAATGCTGACCTACTGGAAGCGGTGCCGAGGTTGCTGTATATTTTTGGCGGAGGTGGTATGTGACCTTCACCAAGTCCCAGCGGCTCTGACTGACATGGTATAGGCTCCATATCCAGAGGTGCAGGTGACATTATTGTGCAGAGAACTCGTCTACTCAACGGCTTGGATAGTACTGAGTGTGGGTCATTCATTCAACATCCGACCGATCCCGCCTACTGAGCGTACTATCATTTCCATCCGTGGAATGGTGTGAGATGGCAACCAGTTTCGGACCAGGAGCCGCAAGGCGAGGACTTCGAGTTGGTGCTCCAGCGTGATGAGTCTTGTCTTCCACTTCAGGCAGTGTTCCAGAATCTTCCTCATCTACAAGAGTGGAGGACCAATGATGTGGTCCGGAGACACCCTCACATCCCCGACTACTGGGAATACCGCTACCGACTGGATGACCTGATCGTGTTCTCCACCGGAGAGAAAATGAACCCATTGCCGGTAGAGGCAAGACTGAGAGACATTGCGGGCGTTAAGGAGGCCCTGGTCGTGGGGAACAAGCAATCCTATCCTGCAGTACTCTTGAAATGGATGTCAACGAGCGGCATGGAGCCGAGAGCGACTCGGTAGACAGAGAACGAAGAGCCATAAAACATGCGCTGGAGTCTGAGAAAGTGAATTGCTCTCGCGATGCTCAAACTCATGAGAAAATGGTGATAATAGCGAGTCCCAGCAAACCGTTTATTCGCACAAGGAAAGGCTCTGTGCATCGAAATAAGACGCTCGAGCTCTACAAGACTGAGATTGAGAGGGTTTATGGCCTAACCGAGTCCCCCGAGCCTTCCAACCTCGATCAAACGAGCCTCTGCTTGTCTTCCGAGCATGCTCTTGCAAGAGGCCTGGTTAATATGATTGGGAAGCTAGAATCAGGGCTAGCCGATCTCACTGTGACAACAAATATATTTGGGGCTGGGCTGGATTCCAAACACGCGCAGATTCTCGCATCATTCATCTCCAAGATACTAGACTGTCAGAAATGTGGACGAACGTTTCCTGTCGAGGCAGTCTACGAGAACCCCTCGCCAAAAGAAATGGCAGGCTACATTATGCGACAAATTCTCCCATCTAAAGGGCGGCAAAGTGACTAGAAGGATTTCGATTCCGTTTTGAAAAGGTATGAGGTGCTCACCCGCATCTACAATCTACTTGCTTATGGCTCTTCTAGGCACTCTCAGACTCTAAACAGAAGCCCCAACAAGGACTACCTCGCCTCCCTAGTCTCAGATAAAAGACACCTTCTATTACCGGAAGCACAGGATTTGTGGGCTCGCATGTACTCGATACGACCAAACACCGGGAGGATATTAGCCATGTGACCTGCCTGGATCGAGGGCAGACCCGCGACTATGCGAGTGATGAGGTCTACCCTTCCAAGGTTCATATTGACCATATAAAAACTGACCTGGCCGGGCGCTGCCTGGGTCTTCCAGGAGAGATCTATCGGCAGCTGTCCAGGCCGCGAGCATGCGCGTTTCAATCTGTCTGCTGGGTCAGGTTGCCGATTCAATTCAGGATGGGAGAAAAGGAACTGGAAAAGCTCGTGCGTGGCCAATTCGGGATCGGTTCCCAACGCTGCTGTCAAGTTCCGTTGCATTGGGCTGTCTGCCAGACACCCTGGGCTCGGCCGATCAGATTGACTGGCTACCGGTTGACACCGTAGCAGATCTTTTATGTGATCTCATCAGCTTGTCTGGGAAACAGCACGCGCACAAGAATGGACGAGAATCTGAGTACTTTCATCTTGTCAACCCCAATCGCGTTCAGTATGCCAACCTAGTCTCATTGTTAGCAGCGCGACTGGGACTGCTTAACCCAAAATTGAAAGTCGTGCCATTGAGCGAGTGGGTAACAAGCCTAGAGGAGAAAGGAAATAGAACCGAGCCTGCTGCCGGCATTCAACTACTTAACTTCTTCCAGGGGCTTGCAGAATACTCCCATAAAGGCTCTGCAATACTGGAAACGACACTGACTGAGAAGCATGTACCACGGCTCAAGGAATGCCCACCAATAAGTCCAAAATGTATTAATAAGTGGCTGAGGCAGTGGGAGATGACGCCTGCCTCCATGAGTGGCTACCTAGGCGATAAGCAGGACTGATTCGAGTCGTGTTCCAGTCGCAAGTAAACCCTACGTGTACTGCTGTTCATTGATGCACAGCTACAGTAATTGAAATAATACAGAATATAACTTGTCACTTCTAATTCAGGAGACTATGGATGCATTTCTGATGGAGGGGGGCTAAGAACATCGGATTTCCTTTAGATGCAGTCTACCTACATGTTGAGCTGGCAAACCATATTTCATATTCATTTACGCCATAATAGGCCAGCCACCTGCAAAGCAAATATACAAAGAAACAATCGCCATTCGACAGACCGCATAGCGTCTTCTTCATATGGCCCGACTAATTGCTGGCACCTGGTTGCATGGTGTTAAGCATAGCCATGCATCTTCTCCACCACTCAGTCCGGGACATGCATCCCTTTCGTGATATCCCAGAACCACCCGGGAGGACCGGTCTCCCTCACATGGAAGGTGGCCACGAGCTGGCCATTGACTTTGACAAGGAGTCTGTATGCTGCTAGCTCCGCGTGGCCTGTGCGGACCGTGCAACTCGGCTTTGAACCTTCTACTGCCCTGCCGAACCTAGGATCTTTGATGTAGCGAGTGGATTCAGAGCAAACACATCAGGGTGGGAGGCCCATCCGAGTAGATTATGTTGGTATCAGAGTTCATGACTGGCATCGTGGATGACGGCGAACCCGGATTTTGTAGTCGTCATGATCAAAAGTCGAGTAGGTTTGTCTCCATCGAGCTTTTGGCTGTGATTGTAACGGTCGATGTCATCGAGTCGGTTCTCTAAAGCAAGAATCAAAATCAGCATGCAGATCCTATATCGAAAATCTATACACATACAACGATGGTGGGAATGCCCGATTTGGGTTCTTTCGTAATAGAGATGATCCTCGAGAAACTGCGTCGGAAAGGCCAGGAGACTGGACTGGGGACTTTGAGGTAGTATCTAGTACTTGCTTCTGCTTCGAGATACATCGACATTGCGATTGTGTGGTTGTGCTTTTGTGGGGCGTGGGGCGTGGGGAAAGGTTGCATGAGTGAAAATGAGTTGGTGCTGGCAAGGGTTTATACTCGGTAGCAGGTCGGAACAGCAATCCGAAGGAGAGCCGGGCGAGCCATCCGGTACCTCCACATCTTCACTGCATCGGGTGCATGTACCCGGTGGGCTTCCCAATACGGTAGGTGAATGCGAGATGGATGGATCCATCAATGGACCAATGATCATGATATGGACACTCCGATTAGAGGGGAAATTGAATCCTGATGAGGTGCCGCAGTGTTAACTAAGTGACTGGTTCAGTCCATGACCCATTGCAAGATAGTGACATTGCTCTTGTTGATCTTCACTTGCTTCTCATTTGTACATATGTAAGTCAAGGACCCTGTCTCAACCAGAGTGGCATAAATTGATTAGTCATGGGTATATTGGTCACCTGACAGCGCAGCATAAGTTTATGTCGCTATCAACATACATTTCAAGGGGTAGCCCCGCCGCTGTGTGCAGCTAGAAGAAGGACAAGAAGGGCGGCTATTCCGGCAACAATGCGATTGTTGTCAAGCCTTCCAAAACAAGTGTTAAACAACGTGCATTCCTTTTGTAGGTTGTTGATAAACTGTCTGTCTAGCAGGAATGCCAACCTAGGTATCGGCATTTCTCAGTAATTCAGCCACGTGATCCAAGCAGATCAGCAAGCGACTTGCCCACCTTGAGTAGAAGATTTCAGCTAGTTCAACCAACGAACAAACCACCAAGACTATAAGATATTGCCTCAAACTGCCAATCCCCGAGTTAACAGAAACGAAACATGTCCATCATAGAGGGTTATGCCATTGCCGAGGCTACGCATCCGATGGCTCGCGGCCGAGGTACGTTGATTTGATCGCCTTTGTAGTAGATTATGGATTGGAGAGATTGCATCGTGACTATGAGAGTAAATGACCAGTTACGTTAAGTATCGGTATCGGTTGCCAACGGCATGTCCGGATGTATGTTTAGCTAATCCCTAGATTGACCCCTCAAGCATCCGAAGCATGTAGATAGACATCTCGGACTTCCCGACAGGTTCCCGACAGGTTCCCTGCTTGGTGCTCACTCAGGTGGCTATCACCTGTTGAACCACATCGAAACAACTTTACTCATACACGCTCGCACATTTGTGCAGCAAAGCTCTTGTTATTGAGACTAGTGTATGCATGATGCCCGGTAGAGAGCCAGCTTGCTCCATGCGAGACTGGGGATGTTTGCCAATTGAAAGAGTATACCCAACGATGAGCAACTATCCAACCCAACGTAGAGAGTCTAGGAGAGCCGAGAGTCGGCGACCGGGGATTAATGTGTCTCGGAATGTACTCTACATAGTCTATGACGCATTCGAGTTATCGGCACAGGAGAAAGCCGCCGAGCCCTCATCGTCACAGTAAAATTTCATGATCATCTTCACTGAACCATATGTCCCTGCCACAATTAGGAAGGCCCCAAGAATGAGTAACGCCACGGTCCACATCACTCCAAGCATCCAGCAAATGGTCCTTGAGTGTCCTCCGGCGCCTCTGCCCCAGTTATCGTGGAGCCACATCGCCGCCATCGGGATGATGCAGATGAGCGGACCTAGCAAAGCGCCGATCAGCAAAACTAGGGCTAGGCCTTACCAAAGCCCGCGGGTTCACAGGTCGGGTCCAAACCCAACCTGGTTCTTAGCAGGTTTTGGATTAATGGGCTTAACCTATAGGTTGGATATAAATTTAAATATTTAATCTATAGATTTTTAGTAGATATTTATAAATTATTAAACTAAATAAATACTATATAGTTACTAGATTATATAAGTTATACAGTTTCAGCTGTATTTTTAAAAAATTATATTTATATTTAAAGTAATCTAGTATAAAAGATATTTAGTTATATATAAATTTATAGTAGTAAAAACTAATAAATTAAATTTATTTATATATAATATATATTTAATATGAAATAAATTAATTATTATTATAATAAAGATATTTTTAAACTTTATTTAATATCTATAGCTAAGTTTCTAATAAAGAATTATTTTTATTATTTTTATTATTATTTTTTTTTAGTTATTAAAATTATTTAGTTTTTATGTATGTTAAAAGTAATACTTTTTTTTATTTATTATATACTTTAATAAAACTGGTATTTTAAGTTGTTTAAAAACAGCTTTTTTTAATATTTTTTTTATTTACTATTATAACTGTAAGGGCCCAAACAGCCCTTCCAACCTTCGCGGATATCTGCAAAGGGAAATATATATAGACAACCTAAGGTGGCAGTTATATAACAGCTAAGCAAGCTGGCTGCGGCCGCCCCTAAAAACAGCAGCTGCCTTATAAATTAGATAAAATAATAATAATATTTTAAAATAATATATTATTACTTTTTATAAGGGCTAAAGGGTGAAATAGCGTGATGAACGAATAGCTTTCGCGAAGCCAAGGGTGCCAATGTATTGCCTTAAGGTGTTGTTGCTGCC